CTCATTTGTCATGCTATAGTTTGATCCATCGATGAATTGCGATTGAAGTAAGTGCAAATATTATTCTGTCTTCAATTGAAATCATAATGCATGGAAACTGAATTATATGAATTCTAAAGTATTCGTGATTTTACTAATATTGCAACATTTTGTGGTTTGAATAATATATAAAAAAGATATATAGTTGTTATTTAAAAATCATTATCATTTTCTGTTAGAATAACAGTGTTTATCTTCTATTATTTTACTTTGAAAAGCTTTAACAAAAATCTTACAAATTGATTTTTACAGAAATCCATATATCAGCCAATCTGGATTGAAGAGACGCAATCAGAGGTAAGCAACATTACATAAAGATGCGCTTTCTTAATATATAATAGTTGAATGACATGTAGTATTTCAAAAATTGTGATTTAAAAAAACTTTGATACAATCTAAAATCTATTCTAATTTCACTGCTCCCGTTTTTTAATGTTAAAATCTGAATTTTGCAAAGCAGTTCCAGTCTAGAAAAACTAATTGTTTAAATTCAAAAATGTTATTGTCAAGACAAATTTTTGGGTACAAAGCCATCGCCTAGCATTCGTTATAATCAAATGCACGAATACCATACAGTAACTACAAACTGATGGATCTCACCGTTCATGAAACCACTAGCTATTATTACACATAGATTGAAATATTGGAAATCAATATGCTTTTGATGCAATTTTCAGATTGGGACGAATTGTTGTGTCATTCGATTTTATTCTTCAATTTCTACTATACAATGAAATTGTTTTATCAAATTATGCACATTTCATTTCTTAATGTACTTATTTATGTAATATTGATCAATTTATGTGTTAAAAAATATTAATAATATGTCAAGATATATCCGGCTAATTGATATCATTACTCAAAAGCTAAATAAAATATCGAAGATCTACATATAATACTTATCTTGGTCGGTCAAAGTAATAAAAACAATAAAAATATCAATTGATAATTTAATTTATTTAGTAGCTTGTAATGATTCTACTGAATACGCTTTTAGTTAAATCTGATTTAGTCATTATTTCTCTTTCAAACTACAAAACGGCTGAACTTCGATCAACTTTGTGACAGAGCAATTTAAAATTATTTTTTTACTGGTCAATAGTTTGCTCTATCTTCATTAATAAATTAATTTGAAATCGCAAAGTGTTACCAATTAATGACCTTGTTCGCGTGACATCACCTCCCCCGTCGTCAACCATAAATAAATGGTTTCCATTCATATATAAGAACCACCACCAGAACTGTCAAAAGTAGAATCTATATAATATTTCGAATGCTTTTCAAATTTATACCTATTCCACTTGAACATCAATTTCGCAGAATGTGGATCTTGCATTAATATATTAATGAGTCTCAAACGTTACTGGTTAATTTATCTCAGACTAACTGATGATATGAACATGAATACCATCATCATTTAGTCCTATGATAATTTGAAAACTAGTAAATGGATGATTCAATAAAAGATTGATAAAAGAGGTAATCTGATTAAGATCTATCTTCAGCAACAGCTCAAATACAGCGATTAAATTATGCTTATTGAACATTCTAGAGAACCGAATTTCAATTTCTTTTCAAAAAAGGACTCTTCGACTATTCTATTATATTCTGCTCCAAAATTTATCTATTCAGTCCTGGCTTATTTGTATGTTCAATTATTTGATACTTTTTTCTGACTTGATTCTTTAAGCTTATTATGAATCTTATTAAAATTGAAACAACAGTTTCGACTATCTTACGATAATGTTTTAAAATCTTATCAATTCTCGTAATATGTAGTGAAAAAATCCTTGTTTTATCCAATACTATTCCAGTTTCATGAACTTTACTCCATCAAATTTTAATTCAAGATTTATTTTTTTATTATGCTTTACTGTTTGTATCAAAAGCATACGGGTTCAGCTGATAATGAAGACGATCCATAGCATTTAAAAACAAATAATTACTCAAGACGTATGTACTGAATGCACATTTTAAATGTGTGCTGAGTTCTCGGCAAATTTGATCTAGGAAATTCAATCTATCATGACATGGCGAGTGACAATAATAATAAAGCCGGGATAAATCATGGAAAGAGCAATGCATTGATTAAGAGACAGCCAAATTACCTTAATGAGACATTACTGCATCCTGGCAAATCATGAAATATGTGTATGGATGCTTATTGAAGCATCGAGACACCAAAATCAAAATTCAAAATTCTTTAATATAAGACCTTAATAATTTTTGTGTGACATGTCAATCTGATTAATACTGAACTTTTCATCTTATTACATTAAGATTGCATTAAACAATAATTTCCCAAGACAACGGAAGCAATAAATTTTTCCAAAATATTAAAATTATTCTCCAAAATCTAAACTCTCATATCAGACAAGAAAGATGAAAACAAATTTCAAACTGCTTTCAGTACTAAATATGTCATGATCAAATATTTGAATATTATGGCTTTGTTTTTTTTCTAGTTAGACCAAAATATACGGACTGTAACTTGTTGAGAAAAGTCTGCAGGAAAAGACAACAAAATTGATTAGAGGCTGGTAAAAAAAATGAACAATAGTGCTATTAACCAAAATGCATTACCACATTAATTGATGGGAAAATTTGACAAAAACAAATAAGTTTAAAATTACGAATTATGTTGTGAAAACCAATGCTCTTGCTAGAAGTGACGATAATTTGGCGTTTCTGTGCTGATAAAAATCAAAGAGTTCCTACTAAAATTCATTGTCATTGGCATTAATTAAAATGCAATAGTATCAATGACAAAAAAATAGCTGTCTCTATTTCCGTTTCTATTTCACGATTTTTTCGTCAATAACCTCAATAAACTAAAGACGAATGATTGGCAGAAATTCAGGACTACTAATTAACTGTAATGATAATTATTTTTGTCAAAGATTATCAAGATTTTGAAAAGTTTTCAAGCTTTCGCACTTCTTGCACTATTTTTCAAAGATCCATGACTCCGAAACTACCAAGTCTTCAGTTAGCTTCAAGTAAAATACTCCAACACCATAATGAATTAGGAAAATTCAGGAAATAATAATAGAGAACCCATTGGTTTATGATAATCACAACTTGACTTCTCATTCTTTATGCATTTTATTTTTAATTCAAACTCAGTTATGTCTTCCTGAAGGTGTATTTTTTACTCATATAAAACAAATTTTGTAGAAATTTAAGACTGAAAATGAAAATTATCAAATTTAGACATCCAAACGAAAGAAAAAATGAAACAAAGGTGTTCATTCATCTTCTTCAATATTTCCTTAACAATCTTGAGTCACAACGATCGGTGACATTTATAAATTTAGTCTTCTCAAAACTGAAAAGCAAATAGAAATATATAACTGAGAGTAACCATTTATGTTCTCTTCCGTACTCAGCTTCCAGGAATGTTTCTATGAAACTATACACACAGTGGTTTATCATAATTTTTACTGAATGTAGCAATCATTTTAGGAATGAAATATGAAATTATTTTGATCAAAAAAGACAATTATATTTAACGAATAATCTATCACTAACCTTAAACATTCTTCAAATGATACATGTAAAAATATTTTTTGTGTTATATTCAGCGATTTCAAAAATAATCGTTATGATTCGTTTTTTTTTCAAACTCATCCTAGCAGTCTGCTAATTTCTTCAAGCAATTTGTCCACCCAATTTATTAACGTTACAATTGCCTTTAAGGTCAGGATTTGGATATTCTCGAGACTGTAGATTGAAATTAGTCTTTTTTAATATTTCGTATTAAAGTATTAGCATATGATTGATAGATTTCATATGTCACAGCTAAAAGAGAACACATACAAGAAATGGGGACACAACCAGAAAACAGCAATAATTTTTCCGTTTTCAAAGTTGGAAGCTTTCACTAACAGCGAAATTGAAAATAAAATCAACAGTACTTCATGAAATTGTACTTTATTATTCTACTCAACAGATACCAAACTGTCTTTCCAAACAACTTATCTCAATCAAATTCCATAGTGTTTGGTGACTGATTTTGCAAGTCGCGCGGTCATCAGTTAGCAGGACACTGTAATTAGACAACGGCTAAAATTTACAAAAAAAAAGGAAATGATACATTAAGCGGTAATGTAGTCTTTTGTCTGATTATTTCTAACTAGTGTCCAGTCTTACGAGAACTAATCATTCAGAGATGACTGTTCCTTTATAACGACTAAATGCAAGAAGTATCCGTAACATTCAATATTTCACACTGGGAAAAGCACTCATACAACACGTTCTTTACAATCAATTTTACGATGAGACAGACAAAAGAAGGCGACAAAGTAACTTACAGAGAAAGCTTTTACCGCTCTCCTCCTCCTATTCCCACTGCATACCCCTAAATTTTCAAAACTGCAGTGAGCTACAATTTCTCGAACTCCCATGCTATCGTACCGGCTGGTTTGGACATAAATAGCCAAAATATTGTTCTTGCACTTTAAGTTGTACCACGATAAGAGCTGGATGTGAGAGGTGGTGGGAAGGGCAGCTATGTTTTTGGTAGAGATAGAATTTCATATGATGTTGAGATGTTCCGCACAGTTACTTTCAGAAATTCTGAAATTTGGATTTACAGAAGATTGATTGCTCAGAAGCTTTTTCCTCTCATTAATCTTCGATTTACATATTTCTTCAAAATTTTCGCAGAAATTACGTCTTCTGATTAACACTGAATCTCTAAAAACAACCGATTTTTTTATTAATTATTTGTTGAGGTCAGATGCCATTCTCCATTACTAAACATATATTTCAGGGATTTGTTGTGCGTCTGCATTCTTCCAGTTTTTTTAGGCGAAATTATTTTTCTTCAATTTTAACTGTATAATCTGGGATATACATTTTTTGTATTTCCAAGATTAACGAACTGTTCTTTATTATTGGATAATTTGAAAGTTTTCGGCCCTACCTGGTTACTATTCTGGATCTGTATATAATCAGTGATGATTGGTGGCTTATTCGTTTATAATCATAAGGGTGAAGTGCTTATTTCGCGTATTTATCGAGATGATGTCAGGTAATACATACAAAAGTTCTGTTTTAGATTTAATTGCACTGAAGTAAGTGGACATAAATGGACGGAGGAGAGATAGAATGATGGAATTTTAAAGTGAGAAAATTTGACCTTGACTTCTGATTTCATGGTTGAAATCGCATTGCATTTCATTTGAAAACTTAATATTTTGTTATTTTTTTTCAGTCGAAATGCAGTGGACGCATTTCGAGTTAATGTTATCCACGCGCGACAGCAGGTATTTGCTGTTCTATATTAACAAATCTTTCCAATGGTTGTAAAATTTACATTTGTATTTTTCTATGTGTTACTGCGATGCATATATCAAAGTATTGATTGATCAAGTCTTTATTAAGATACGAAGTTCGGCAATAAATCATTTATTAAGGTGCGGAGCCCAGTAACAAATATGGCAAGGACATCATTTTTCCATATAAAGCGGGGTAATGTTTGGGTTTGTGCGGTTACACGCCAAAATGTCAACGCTGCAATGGTATTCGAATTTCTAAACAGGTGAGTTTTTTATTCATGTTTGGAACACACAGAAGAAAGCAAATTTGACTTCTTGAAGGTTTGCGGATACTATGCAGTCATACTTTGGAAAATTAAATGAAGAAAACGTTAAGAATAATTTCGTCCTCATCTACGAACTTCTGGATGGTATGCTTTTTCTGTGTTGTTTGTCTGTTCTATCCTTCACGTTGCTGCAGAAATAAGAAATTTTTGTGTTATATTTCATTTTATAATCTAATAGATCCATCTAACTGTCCGAGCTTAACGTTTAGAAATTTTTGAAAAGTGATGTGATCTTTGTTAATAGACTTATTATAGCTGCTGTAATAAGTAATTTTTATCTCTCAAAGAATTCTCAGGTTCATGCAACGCTGCTTTTGTAGAGATCCTTGATTTTGGTTATCCACAAAATACTGACCCTGGAGTTTTGAAGACGTTTATAACACAACAAGGCGTTAGAACAGCAGTATGTTTTTTTTTTTTTTTTTTCATTTTTTTCATTACTCTATTTATTTTGGTTACGCTGAAAAGCTCTATGCATGTAAGGAATTTTGAATATATTATTTCATTTTGTCACTAACTGTATATTTCCATACGTAGGCATCAGTGGTAAATTTCTTGTGAATTCTGTGCTGTGCAGTATAGAAGGCGATCAGTTGTTTGCCCTTGATTGTCTCACTTTTTCATCTTTATAAGTTATTGTTTTCATTGTTGTTTCGTACATTTTTTCCACAGCTGTATAGTTGGAAATTACTGTTATGCATTTATACTATATTTTTTTTTAATTATTGCAGGTCTATAATTTCAGAGTAAAGAAGAACAGGCACAAATTACTTCGCAAGTAACGGGACAAATTGGATGGCGTCGGGAAGGCATAAAATATCGTAGAAATGAATTGTTTTTGGATGTTATCGAATATGTCAATCTCCTTATGTCTCAACAGGGTATTTTAATTATTGTGTCGATCTATCAAGGAGTATTATATCTTACATTCTGAAGTATTTTGTATCGGTCTCTTGTATAGATCTATAAATTGATTTAGGGCAAGTTTTGTCAGCGCATGTTGCTGGAAAAGTGGCAATGAAGTCATACTTATCTGGAATGCCGGAATGCAAGTTTGGAATCAATGACAAGCTTACCATTGAGAGTAAAGGGCGTGCTGGGAGTGATGACCTTACCAAATCGTTCGTTTTTTCAAATAGTCGTATTTTGATTCTCTATTTGTCATTTATTTTTTGCAGCAGTGTATATTTTGAAGTGTTATTTTGAAGTATATTGTGTTATATTGCAGAACACGTATTTCTGTGGCAATTGATGACTGCCAGTTTCATCAGTGTGTTAAATTAACCAAATTTGATACCGAACATGCTATAAGTTTTATTCCACCTGATGGAGAGTATGAGCTTATGAGGTATGACTCTCTTGCCTCTCCGTGAAACCATGTTTTCATATTGACCAATCTTTATCATGCTGTTTCATTTTCAGATATCGTACAACCAAGGACATACAGCTTCCATTTCGAGTCATTCCGCTTGTTCGAGAAACTTCCAGAAACAAAATGGAGGCATGAAAATTTAAATTATTTTTTTATGCTTTAGGATTACAAGCATTGCTTTTTGGATTTTCGTTAGGTCATTCACTACACAAGTGCGGTGCGGCATTAGCTCATAGCATCAGTGTTTGATAGAAATGGCTATATAGTATCACTTCGTAATCTTGGCAAGTCGTTTTGTTCTTTCAAATTCTTCCTTCGTTGATTAGCTACTGCAGTTGCGATTGTGTAGCGTCCTTCAATAAAAATTCATCAACTAGCATGAGGCAGTTTTTTTAGCTTAGTTGAATATGTTTGCTATATTTTGATATTGCTCAGGCTACAAGCTAAAAGAGGTTTGCCCAGGTTAGAAGAGTTTAAGAAAGATACCGGTAAACCTGTATTATGAACTATGTTCAATATTTTGCAGGTAAAAGTGGTGGTGAAATCAAACTTTAAACCATCGCTTTTGGCACAGAAAATCGAAGTTCGCATACCTACACCTCCGAATACTAGTGGAGTGCAATTAATTTGTATGAAAGGCAAAGCCAAGTACAAAGCTGGCGAGAATGCAATTGTTTGGAAGATAGTTTTATATTTGTTATTCTAGATGTTTCAAATATCGAAAATTGAGTTTTGTTAGTTCAAATGGAAGAATTTATTCTACGGTTCAGTTTCCTGATTCCAGTTTAATTTCATCGTTGCGCTTATTTAATTTTGAAAAAAAGTTTCACCGATTTATCTGAAGTAGTCTGTATTGTTGCGAGATACAGCGGATTGTTTTTCTCTACATTGGGGTGATTTAATGTCTATCAGAAAGAAAGAGATCATTCCATTAGCTTCCATTTAGTAGGACAGACAAATCTGATGAATTAAGCTGGGCTTATGATGACATCTTAATAGAACTAAGATGGTGATTTGTTGTAGCACTATATATGTTAATACTAATAATATTAAAATAATTATATCAGCCAAATTTCCGAGAAAAACCACTGGTGGTCTCATTTTTTTGATCGTGACAGCATTAGACAATTTTAAAATATTTTATTTACATTTTTAAGTATTATTGAGAAATGAAATGTTTTTGTATGTATCAAAACCAGTTTAAAGAACGGTTTGTATTATTTTTAGAATCAAGCGTATGGGTGGGTTGAAAGAATCTCAAATCTCTGCTGAAATTGATATTTTGAGCACAGGTAACGCTGAAAAGAAAAAATGGAACCGTCCTCCGGTGTCGATGAATTTCGAGGTATTTCTCGGAATTGAAATAGAATGGGAAATGAATTCATAAATTCGTGTTGGTATCACCAATAGAGTATTTTTCAGGTACCATTTGCTCCATCAGGCTTGAAAGTGAGATATCTGAAAGTATTCGAACCAAAATTGAATTATTCGGATCACGATGTCATCAAGTGGGTGCGGTATATAGGCAGGTCAGGACTGTACGAAACAAGATGCTAAGTCCATTTATCCTACCAAGACAACTTACGATAGCCACAATCGAGAAAGTTCGTTGTCGAAATGAAAAAACATTTTGCTTCCGCCGTCTCTGGCATTTATTATTGGATTTTTTTGTTTCATTATTTTCATCTCACTATTTATTCTCTTCAAATCATTATTCTTTTTGTGCATTAGTTTTTATATATTAGCATAGATACTTTTATAATTCAAATTTCGTCTCTGCAATATTCATTTTAAAACATTTTAAGTTCAGTTCGTTGAATGCTTTCTTGCACAGATTGCGGAAAAATTTATTCCACTGTTTGTCAGAAAAAATTTTACACAGTATAAAATGTTATGCTTGTTAATGGTGACTTGACTGCTTCTTTCTAGTCTTCCGCAATTTTAGATTTTGCTCTTCTTGTGATTTTTTGGTGGTGTTCATCTGTGTGCTTTTTGTGGTTCTCGTTGCTTGCTAATTAACTGCAAGTACAACTTTTCCGAAATTTGAAAAGTTGATATAGATGTTAAGAGGGGGAAAATATGGTCAATTTCTGCTGATATATTTATGTAGCAATTTTGAAAAATTATATTTGAAAAGTCTGCAAAAAGAAACACTGTTTTCTTCCAACTTATAATTTCCGTGATGATGATTACGTTCCTGGATACTTCACAGTTGACAAAATTTGTTGTATTTATAAATTGCTTAAATCCTACTTGAATAAATGGTAGTTTTTTTCTGACCGAAAGGTTGTATATAATAGCCATAAGACAATTATGACATTTTTGTTAGTTCCTGGATGTTTTACGGGGCTGCAAGCGTTATCGTCTGATTGTTCTGTAATATGTGCAATTCTGTAGTATTGAATCGTTGTATGAGGGGAAGTTGAGTTTTTATCTAAAAATGTGAGAGAAGCGGGTCTTACCTGCTTAGAAAATTTTCAAGCTTATTTTCCGTCATTTGCATCCGATGAAAATTGTGAGTATGAGTGGGAAGTAAGCCAACTTTATCGAAATATTTTAATTGGATATCAAGTTAGCTTGAATGAATGGTACTTAGTTAATTGATCGACATCGTTTGACCTAATTTAAGTAAGACGGGAGCGGGAATTTCTAGTTCACTGATGGGCATTTACAAATAAACTTTGTAGAGACGCATTTCATTATTTATTCATTCTAAATGTTGCAACAATTCTCTATTTTATTTGTAGATCTACATAATTTATACGATCTTGACATATCTACACGCATCGGACTGGGCTGTCACTATGCTTGGATAAGCAGCTGTTTTCGATGCTTATTATCACTGTGCAACACAACAAAGATTGAAATTTTATATACAACATAAGATTAAAATTATGATTAAAATGTTCATCCCATTTCCACTGCAAATTTTTAGATTTCAGTCTTGATCGAAATTTGATTGTATACCTTACACATCTTTAAACAAGCTTTCTGGATTAAATTTTGATTAAAGTTGAAATATTCAACTTAGTACGACAACAGTAATAAAAGCAATATTTGAATTAACGGATTTTATACTTGCTGTACTTTTACACTTTGCTAGTTCTAGCAGCTAGAAATAGGGCGATACGGCTACTTATGGAAGGTATAACATTGAAGAATAGAGAGAACGATGAGCATTTGAAATGTCTTTGAAAGTTTATTGATGCATTTGCCACCTGCTGTTGAAAGAATGAAATTTTCATATAACTAATTCATTATATCTAGCCTAGAAAGAAAATATGTTTTTTTTTGAAAAAAATTAATGATGATAAGCAGTCGAATTATTTGATAAACTTTACAAACAATGATATGAAAAAAAAGATTGCAAATTAACGAATCAAAATGACCTGAGCAGCAAAGAAATAGATGCGGCGGAATATGCAACAATAAACAAATGATGGAACAAAATGCTAGCAAGTTCATTCAACTGCAACAATGTTTTGCATTGTCTGGACTTTCTGGACAGCTGCTGATAGAAGGCAAGCAATGCAATAATATGTTTGTTCTTCCTCAATTACGTCAATCATCGACCATTTCATGTATAATTAAACAATTCGAGACACTGTAATGAGGCGTGATACAATCTTTGTGCAAAATAACAATTTTGATCTTGTAAGTTTGTTTCCCTTTCATTAACTGTCTCTGTGCAAATTCATATTTTTTTCTTTTTAAACTTTTGAATGTCACCGTAGCAAATTTCACACATTTGTAAATGTCAGTTTTTTTATCTCAATTTCTTCTTTTTTACTTCTTCCATCATTTTACTATATCCTTCGAATATACGTTTGTTTCACGCAACTCCGAATGTGAAATTTTGTATTGCAATTTCAGTCCTAAAAATACATCAGTTGTAACACATTTATTGGATGAAATAAACAATCAATACTAATCAATCATTCTGTTGACGTTATTATTTTACTAATCTTTGAATAATGTTTCATTTATAAAAGGAATTTCTACAAGAATCTCACATGTCATGTTTTCCATGAAAAATTTTATTAAAAAATTTTGCAAATGTGTTTCGCAAGCAGTAGTTTCTGTAGTATTGAGAAATCAAGAAGAAATAAGCTTACGAATTTTATTTCTTCAAATTATTTTAATATTTTCGAGACAAAATGACCCTTCAAGACAAAATTTATTACAAAGTTTACTCGTTGCTAATCGGATTGTCGAAATTCAGTTTAAGTACGGTGTTGAGAATACCGTTACGGAATTGCTAGTTTTTGATAAACTAACAAAGTATATTAAATGTTTTTCCGCTCTGTTACACATCATTGCCCAAGCATAGACTCTTTTTTGAAAGTTGAATGCGATTCATCGGAAAAATGTTTTAGTTCTTTTTATTCCATATTTATGACTGTTCTTGGCTATAAGTATTAAAATGTTTTTTAAATCAACTTCATTTTTCTGGTTCATTGCTTTATATATGTATTAGTAATACTGATAATTGACGCTCATTTATTTAAAAAAAAAAGTAAGAAAAAGATTTGTGGGATTAAAAAATTTTGTAACCAGTGACATGATTATTTGTCCATAGCACAGAAAGTGCTTCAGAGATCAGAATCGGGAAATAGTTTAAATGGTGACGAAATACCGATGGAAATGGATCTTACAGCGGCTGGCCCACCACTGTCAGATGATGAGTCAGTCACCGAACACTCCCGTGCGCAAGCTAAAACAATTATGGTATATTTAAATTTGTTTACAGTTATATTTATTCATCGGAAGTGTTTACTTTCCAATTGGCAAATCCTAGGTTAGATTGTCAAAGATTATATAATTGGACACTAAAATGATGGTGGGCAGAAAAATATCCTTCAATTAGTTATTTAATTTAATTAATTTAGAATTTCTATCATCACAAATATAAAGTTGTAATTTTTTTCAAGTTTACTGTTGGAAATTCCCCATAGTTTTCGAAATTAATTGTATTACAGTATGCTCGAATGATACTACCTCATGTTGGTCTCGTTGTGTTGCTTATCGTATATCTTTTGATCGGCGCTATAGTGTTTCGTTATTTGGAAGCACCAAATGAAGTCGAAGTAAGTTTTAAGATTTCGGAAAGGGGAATGTTTTTTTATATATAAACGCAAACACTCACTTTTTGGATATAACTGATATTGAAAGCAAACAATATTTCTTATTCTCTAATAAATGTTAACGTAATCAGTGAATATTTGAGTTTACATATAAAACAAGTATTCTCTTTTTCGAAATCTTTAAAATAATCTTTTGCAATGTCATAATAACTGCAAAATCGGTTCTATAAATACACCTTTTGCAACTTTTCAATTAATAAAATACTTCGCTTGTTATTCATCAATACCTACATGAACCTTTCTTATAATTTTAATATTCTCTAAAACTGCTTAAGTTCATCGTCTTTCAATTTAAGCGCTCTTTAGTTCTATACAATCTATTTCATTCATTCTGATTTTAATCACAGAAGTAACAAGATATGTTATAATTAGATCATACATCGCTTAATCATAAGTGGTTTTAGAATTTATCTCTAAAAAATGTTGCGCACAATCTAACCGCTTCTCATTTATCATTATTTAGCAAGATCATCAGCAAGTAATAGATGTGAAAATTTACGTTAGACAATATTCCTCCTCTTATTTTCTTCCTTTTGCTTTTGAAGATATATCATTCATTGTCTTCAAGTGAATCATTTTTTTTTAATTTATTTTTTATCTAAATTGTAGACTCGTGATCGCGAATTACGAGCAATTTTTGGCTTGCGAAATGATTTCCATGATATGGTTTGGAATTTAACTGTTGATAGTAACAGCTTATTTACACGCGAATCATTGGACTTACTTGGAGAGCAGTACTTTGAAGCATTGGTACTTGCTATGTTCGAAGCATACCGGAATCAGTTTGTCAATGAGAATCATTTACTAAATAAAACAAACGGTGATGCCATGTTGTGGACCTATGCAAACAGTATTTTTTTCGCCACAACTGTTATTACCACTATTGGTAACGTTTTTATGCGCTTATTTTATGCACTGAAAAGAACTTAAGAATTCGAAATATTGAAATAACGAGTGAAAAACATAATGTATTAAGAAAGTATTTGTTGGATGGAAAGATGATTTGATAATATTGTTTTAGTTTTTGTAAATATTTATCACAAGCAACTATTTTGCATTTCAAGGATATGGTAACTTGGTGCCAGCAACACAAGTTGGCCGTATCACATGCATATGTTTCGCTTTGTTTGGTATACCGCTACTTTTGGTAACAATAGCAGATATAGGCAAATTTTTGTCCGATTTTTTGAGCTTTCTCTACCGAACTTATCGAAGTTTCAAACGCAAGGTTAGGGATATTTGTGTTATAAATATGCTCATTAAATTAAAATTAACTGACAGCTATTTTATCAAATTTAGCTCAATAATTTAAAAATTTGCATACTCTAAATTTTTTAAAAAAGAAATTATAGGTATGCAGACAATCACGACGTATATCACATCATTATCGGGATCGGAGCTCCTCTGCACAAAGTAGTTCGGTATCAACGAAGGCTGGAAGTATGAATCTGAATAGCATCGACATTAATTCAGAATCGAGTTGTGAGGTATCTTTTCTGTTTATTAAATAAATGTTGGAAAGGCTCCTATTGTAAACCTCCTAGGTTTTGTTTGGCTATTTCAAAGGAAAAATATGCTAAAAGGACTACTACTATTGGAAAGGATTAAGATTATTTTCATTACCGCTATAGATTCATTCTGAGACCTTTACCGCAGTAGCTGTAAAAATTTATCTTTTTTTTCATCGACAAACAAAGTATAATAAATTATTTTGTCTCAAATTTGCTTCAGGAAACATTTTTTGTGCAATCCCAATAATTCTAATACTCTTCTGTAAGAAAGAAGAATAGCTAACTTGAGTAAGATTATTTGCTAAGACTGGAGCATCCCGATGCAGTAAGTAATAAACTTTGAAGTAATTTATTAATTTGTATGTATACTCATTTTCATTATTCTTTACATTGTCTTTAGGATGAATTACGTATTCCGGTTGTAATGGTACTATTCGTCTTAGTTGCTTATACGGCAATAGGTGGCTTACTATTTCGAGCATGGGAAGGATGGCAATATTTCGATGCCTTCTATTTCTGTTTCATAACAATGGCCACTGTTGGTAAGCTTTTTCTGACCAAATGAAAATAGAAGATAAATTTACGTTTTATCATTTTTTTGTTTGAACTAATAATTAAATATTTCGGATAGGTTTCGGAGACATTGTGCCAACTGAGCAAATGTATATGTTTTTCACAATGGCTTATATCATCTTCGGTTTGGCTTTGTGAGTTTCATGCTTGTTTTGTGTTTTGAAGCGATGAATAAAATGATTATGATTTTAATTCTAATACCTTGTGATGGAAATAATGAATTCTTTTCTGCGGAAATGTTTTATAGAATTTGGCATAGCAATATTGTTTTTAGGGCTACAATGTGTATTGATCTTGCTGGTACTGAATACATTCGAAAAATCCATTACTTAGGCACAAAAATGGAAGGTGCAAAAGGAGCTGTGATGACGTACGTCATATAAATTAGTCATTTACAATCCTAAATTCTGTTGGATTATTTGCGAATTTTTCCATGGAGAATTTTGCAGGATTTTCACTTCTATTTGGGGAGGTAAACTTGCAAAACTTATGCATTCTTTTTATTTCAGAGGTTTGCAAGCTGGTGAACATTTGCTAAAACATACTGGTATTGAAGTTATTAGAACAGCTGGCGGTAAATTGGTACAAGTTCGTGGAGCAGTACTGAATCAGAAGGAGGCTCGTGAACTGGGTGTTGAGTACATATTAACTGATATGCATTATCAGCAGAAGAATATACTCTATGAACCGTTGAGTCCAACAGTACAGCGCTTAGTGAAAAGCAGTAATATCAAAGTAATTTTTAAATTTTTAAATCGTGTAGCAAAAAATTTTACAATCTTCAAGATTTTGATGACCTAAAATTTTAATTCATTGTTGTCATTTAATCACAGTTCTTCAAAAGTTAAAATTCAGATACTGCCTGGTGACATCACGGAGAAGGACGGATATATTATGCAGAACAAAAGTTATGATAAACCGGGTGGAAAGTATTATCGTATGTTTCATCGGCGTAGAAATTATATTCATCGTCTGTTGGTACCATCAACGGGTGAAGTTGCTGCCATTGTACCTATATTATTGAAAGAAACTGATGTGTAATGGTCCGTACTACTATTACCTCGGCTTATTGGTATATGTAAAGGAACGTGAGAAAATAACCTAAATAAATTGTTTAATTCAAAATTCATGTACTACGTGGTGACATTACGGGCAAGTCAATAATTTAATTATGAAAAAAAAAGAAATCACGAGTCAATTTCAATTATCTGACAAACTGATTTTCCACCTGATAATAAATTTCAGTGCAGTCAAGTGCTTTATATTTTTATGACCGTAACTTCTTGCTGAACTGCTGAAGTCAATTGTGTTGCAAATTTATCAGGCAACTGTATAAATTTTTTGGAATCGAATAACTCGTTTCATAAGGAGTAAATATGTACTCGAAAAACGGTAGAATTATCCTTTGAGCATGGATGAAATTTTCAAGCAATGGTTTTCTTGGATTCTCAACAATATTTGTTTAATAATTTTTGTTTAATAATAAAAATTTTTTTTTCATAATTTTTGAACTTTTTCACTTCCCTGGAATTCTTTCTCAAAAGCGAAAATTTCATTTTTTTTAGATACAATGCAAGTCTGAAAATACGTTTAACGCAAACAGTCTCTTGTCTGATGCACATGCTTGAAAAGTTAACAAGAATTCCTGTAGGACGTATGCGGCTGTTTTATAGGTCCAATTTACGCAAAGATGTCATGGAAATATACAAGAAGTATCGGTTGCTGTGATTGAGGTCAGACACATAAAAATGAAAAATGAATGTTTTTCAACAATATCTAATATGAAATCAAGCATTAAACATGAATGTATATTACAAGATATCTGTACACAGCGAGTTAGTAGAAAGGGAACAAACATCCCAATCACGAGTTCCCATCGCACAAAATCATCATTTTGCGACGCACTCCTTTCTACTAATCACCATTTTCGACTGAAAACAATTATTGCAAAAGCGTGATTAACAATATTTCGGCACTGTTGCATGTTCCTGAGAAGAATACAACACATTATATCAAAGAAAAAAATCAGTAAAAGTTTACTACGAAATGTTAAGCAACTGCAAGGTTATTCGTTGTTCCGATAGCTGGTACTACAACCAAGGCAGTGGGTATAATATGAATAAAGGAACTTTCAAAAAGAATATAAGTCATATCCTTGAAGAGACATGAATGAACAAGTCATACTACATAATTAAGTTATGACTGTGCAAATGTTCCGCTGCTTGCGGAAGTTAGAAGCAAATGACCCAACAGTTCGATTGCAAAACTAATAGTTAAGAATAATATCACAAAATCAGTAGCAGAAAAAAAATTCTAATTTGTCAATTTCTCAGCGGGTAATGATATACCAAAAATAAAGCAATGTTAAATTGATAAAGACCACTTTTTTATTCTCTAATAAAACAACTCCAATCATAATTTTTTTCTGCATTAACCTAGCTATTCATCAGGTGGTTTCGCAACTCTTGCGAATTAAATCTTATCAAAGCAATAATTGTAACAGCTTAAGTAACTGACATACCTGAACACAGATCTTATCACCATCCTCGATATGCAACGCTTGAAGCATTTGACTTGGGAAACGCAACTCATCAGGGAATGGATTAGTACTGTTCATATAAAACAGCCGCATACGTCTTACAGGAATTCTTGTTAACTTTTCAAGCATGTGCATCAGACAAGAGACTGTTTGCGTTAAACGTATTTTCAGACTTGCATTGTATCTAAAAAAAATGAAATTTTCGCTTTTGAGAAAGAATTCCAGGAAGTGAAAAAGTTCAAAAATTATGAAAAACCGGTGAATGCAAAATAATCAAGCAATAAAATTTTGGTCACCCAGTTTCTTCGCATATCACAGCGATAACAGCATATTTCTTCGGAGTCATATCAACCTTACACAGCTGTTCCACATGCCCATGTCGCTCAATTAATCTAGCAAATATTTTCGGCTTAGTTTCACGAACATCATAGTACCTAAAACAACAAGTTATAAAAGTCCTCACTTTACTTACTAAATGACTTATAAGGCATTCACTTCTTTGGACTGACTTTAGCAGAAGGTACAAGAGGTACACTGCACTATATCAAATGAAAGGTTATACAATATACCTTAAACATCTACATTACCATTGAAAGTCGTCTACATAATGACGATAAACAACGATACAGCCTATAGAATTTGACCAACTCTATGGATGAGATGCGCATTTTTTTGTGTTTGTCAATTACCAAAATTTCATCAAAACTCAGGGTTCAAATAAGAAATGAAAAAAAAAAATAGAAGTAAGGCAGTCCAAGTTCAGGGATTATCGGATCAGACTGCTTCTAATTTTACTTTCAAATGTTTATGAGAAGAGTAGAAGGAGCTAAGTGTCACTAAAGTGCACTAAACTTCAGAGGAAATAGTGAACTTAAAGGAACTTGACAGCACTGTAACACAGTAGAACAGAACCTTATAAGGAACCTTTCGGACTGTTCCCTTTGCTCAGCGGATATAACTGACCCGTTTAGAATCTTCAGCTGCGGAATACGCCCAACCACCAGATGGAAATGCTCATCATTTGCATACTTTTCCCACAAAGGAATCGCGATGATCCGCAAATCTTGTAAAGTATTTATATCCGCTAAATGTTCAATGGAACTCCAATTATCGATCAGACATTTGTTTAAACTCAATCGATGAACACCATTTAAACAATTAAGGTTATTTGTCTGAAAAAAAAAATATATACATAACACATATAGATAGCACTGTAATTAGGAAGAAAAAGAGATTTTCAGTCAACCGAACTGAGCTGGCTAATTAACTTACAAAATGCACTTTTTCCTTTGTGAGTGCTCAGCACAGGGCCTTACTCGTTAAAGATTATTTTAGACACACAAAAAAATGATTGCGAATCACAATGTTCTAATATGGCAAGTAATAAATGAGGTTCAGTATTTCACAGCACGTTAATCTTCACAAAACGGAGCTTGACAATACTGAAAAGAAAAACACTTGCAAATACCTACTTTCAATTTACAATATGTAGAGCGAATAGGATTTTCACACAGAGACAACGACGTTAAATTCGGAAAGAATCTCCATAAAGAAGTTACTGTTTCCCAGCGCTCGATATCACATTTGCTCACATGCAAGGACTCCAGTGATTCTGACACGACTTCGTCGCTAACATCAATACAGTTTTCTAGATTTCTGAAAAAAAACTGTGGCATTCTATTAAACTCTGAATATAACTGCGTGACAATTAAGAAAAAATTCTGCAAATGTACCACAAATACCGAACAATTAGAATGGGAAGATACCTGTTTTCCGACAGATGCAATTCTTTTAATTTTGGCATTTTGTTTAATAACTTTCGTACTGTTGACATCGGTAAATCCGTCCCATTTAATATAAACAATTCCAAATTCATGGCAAGAGGAAGGCTTGATACCGTCAAAGATGACTGTAGTGGGTTGTATCCCAAGTTTAGTACCTCCAGTCTAGGTAAAGAAAAAATGGCAGTGATTTCTTCCCATGATGAGAGCCTGTTCCAAGCCAAATCTACCTAAATATACAATTGAATAGCAAAGATTAAAATTCTACATAGTGGTACTACTGACAAAGAATCTAAGTTGCAATTTACCTCTCGAGCATATCTGCAGATTGATAGAAATTGGACCTTATCACCGATTCGATCAATGTATTTGTGATTGAGTACAAGCAGCAAAAGGGTGTGTTCACTAGCCAACTTACATGGACTTGTACCCGTCTAAATTTGTGTGGAATTTGAGTGAAAACATTGCAGCAACGTGGATGAAAAGTTCGATAATGCAAAATAAAAGAATTACTAGACCGATATATTCAACCAATCAATTTATTAAACTTTTGTCTTCTTATAACCAACAGCCATTCTAATTAAATAATAATATATTCGTTTTGAAATAATAACCATGGACTTCAGCAGGATGATCGATTCATCAATGTCCACATTACATAAATACTTCTTTTCCAGCTCTTCAACGAGGGACGCCGAGCTGCATTCCTCATTCTAGAAATGGCATGAATCACTGAGAATACAAGGAGTATATTACTATTCCTTGTGAAATTATATAAGACGAATATTACAGATCATAAAGGGCTGTTAACTGAGAAAGAGAGAAAAGTTTCTATTCAACGTCACAAAGACCACAGAACCGTACCATCTTTCAATGAAACTTGGCTACTGGTAACTGCAAGCTGCAGGTCATAGACTGTTGCGTTAATTTCATTTGGTAGATGCCCATAAAGTTAGCCGTAAGACTGTTGTATTTTATTCATCCGTTGATTAAACTGGTAGAGATGACAAATGGAGTCAAGAAATTATCTCCCCATTAAATTTCTTAAAAGTTGCTCAGCAAGAAGACAACAAGGGACAGATAGTCTCCCTCATCCTTTGAAATTAATGAAAGTAGTGAAAAACTGTTATTATTTCATACAAATTCCTAAAATGAAAATCCCGTCTGTTTTTGAATGTTCCTTAGAAGATCGATCAGTGAGATGCAGAGATTCGGTCTGCTTCATTATTAAATTATGCATGCAAACGGAGTCAACATCAACGTGCGACCTCATCGGAGCTACCCGGGCTATCCTCATTCGGATCACTGCTGGCGGTATAAGCACCATCATCATAACCTCTATCACACTGCGCTTGCATTCTATCCACGTATTTATCAACTCCTTCCTCGAACATTTCCCGAACAAGCTTAGACCTGAAACAAACGAATGCGTACCGTGCATGATATACATGTTCCTGTGGAACACATTCAGACACCCTTCCCACCTCTTCCCATTATTCCCGATCATTTATTTCATCTTCTCCGCCCCCTTCCCCCCTGCTGCGATATAGTTCGATGGAGATAGCTACGTCTCAAACATATCAGATGCAGTGAGGAAAACAATGACAGAATAGAGATAAAGAAGACGAAGAGGAAGACGATGACAGAGAAACAGTTAGCTCCGTCATTTGCTTTTGTAAGGAGTACGGATGACACGCGTGGGTAGATGGGCTTATAGGTCTGCTGGAAGTCACTTTGTCCATCGAGCTTGCAGTATCTCCCGGTGTATGAATAGTATGGAAGTGAGGAATTTAAAAAGTAGCAATATTTGGAAATCTAATCACACTTGTTCACTCATCTATCTTGTCTCTTCATAAAATCTCAACACTCAAATGAACGCGATTAGCATTCTTTCACAACTTATTGCAACGATCTATCCTTCCTATCTCCACTTGTCAGCTATCAGCCTGAGCAATAACGACCTGCAAATGCAAACTAAAAAGATTAGCATAACACTTAGCTTGACATCGTAACTGTCATTCATCTCTTCCAATTCAGAATTACTTCTAAATTTAAATTCCCTGACAGCATTTACAACAAGTGTCGAGCGAAGATCAAGCTTTATCTTTTATCGATTGCTCTCACTTATTCTGGTTTCTGAATAACTATACAATCGATTATATACCTCAGCTGAGAGCATCTTCCAGTTTTGCATGTTTTTCGCAGACATAATTATAAGTAACCTACTACACGACAAGCGATATGGTTGCCTCCACTTGCAGTTTGATACTACCGGAAGAGTGATTCACATTCTTGCAATTCTTTGAAGGGTGACCTATATGTAGCAGAAAATAAAGAATTTATCAAACTGCCCATATTTTTGGGTGGAAATAAATGATACACCTTGCAAACGCTAAAATATTTAATTTGAGGCTGCCCGCTTTTAAATTACGTTGAGGAAAATCAGATCTACGACATTCTGCATCATATTTTTTAACTGATACAGCTGGACTTAATCAGCTTATTTTGTTACACTACTTTTTTTACACCGTTACACTATTTCTTGTAATTAATTCGTAACACTGAATAAGTGGCTTATTGAATAACTCTACAAGATCATCATATCTGGATGATTCTAGTGCCCACTGCTGCTCTCTGGATTCCATCAGTATCTTCCTCTTCTGCAAGCAAGACAAAAAATAGGCTCTTCTGAATACAGCATTCACCTTAAATATACAAGGATAGTTGCTAACGGTTCATTGAGCCTTCGCTATTTCACGTTATCAAGTGTTTTGTACATTTGCCAATTACCGTCATTTCCATTGTTTCACACATTTCATCAGTTCCTTCTTGCTAAATTGCAGAACTTCAGAAATATCTGAAAGCAAATGTAAGCGACGAAATAAACAAACGAAAAGTGCAATTTAAGTATTATCACTCCTTCCAATCCCGTAACCAAATGAAGGATATCTATATCAAGGATAGACAAAATGTCCAAAATCAATGATTGACAAAAGTGGCTGAAAAATGGTTGGTGATTAAATACATGGATCTGATCATCATTTTTCTGTGAACTGCTAGCACTTTATTACACTTCATCTCCCGGAGAAAATATCTCAAAAGTAATCAGTGTTACGGTTGTCATTAAAGATTGAGAAAAGGTCCCTATCAAAATTTCAAGATATGAGTTTTTGCAGGAGCTTCCACTTCTTCTTGAAATCAAAAATTGAATGTAAAAACCATACGTAGTACACGAAGATCCCTTTGAATTTTTTTTTATTTCTCTCAAATTTCCGAAAAGGCAGCTGCGAATGATAATTACGAGTGGGTCACCTACAAAAACTGGTTCTCTGTATTTTCAAACGATCAACAAAACAGGAAAATAGTTGACGTCTTCAGTCTAGGAAAGGAGTTCGTACTTTCATTTGATGCAGCGCAGCCTGCTTTTAGTCCATACACGACTAAAAACATTCCTTATGTTTTTGGCTATGATTTATATTCCTTAGTTGTGCAGAGTGTAAAGAAAAGATATATCGAGAAGCAGCCAGATTTTTGAATTAAAGAAGGACGAATCGAATCAGCCTTCAAATAAATATTATTACTTACAAATTATTGCAAAAATTTTGCCGCACAAACTATGTAAAAAAAATTACTAAATAACCAACATTAATTGAGTGAAATTGCCAAATTGTAATTTGGCAAACAGGAACGGTAGTTTACGAGATACTTATGGGATCTATTTTGATTCAGAGGGGGTGTTGTTCACTAGAACTCACCATTATCGATTAATAAGTAGGTACGTTAAATTATATGTTATCGGCAAAGTGCCAATTTGAAAATTAGATCAGTGGCATAATAGCAGATGACTTAAAACATGTACCAGTGTACCTCCTCCACTTTTTTAAAATCTCCAAACGTCTGTCTTTTTTAAAGACAAAAACATTTCATGACTACCCATGCTATTTATCATATAAACGAGTTCAAAGAGTAATCTAGAAATTTCATTTCAAATTGGGCAAGCAATAATTTGGGAAGTCAAAAAAGATTTCAACCTGACCTTATAGTTGATCTAATGTTCAGCGAAGTTAAAGTCAGTAGCGAAATACTATTAATCCACTGAATGACAGAAGCGCAACACACAATCCTGAATAGAATTAGAAAGATGGAGAAAACGTACATTCAATCAATCTTTACTTAATTTCTCTTTCTCTTCCCTACTTGTGCTAGCTAATCTGCAAGGAGTATAATCCCACAATAACCATGGAATGTCTCTCTTAATTCCCCCTTTACCTCTGCCATTTGCAAACATGCTTGCTACCAGCAAGTGCAATTCAAATTATTGCATAAATTTTGATTTCCAGTAAATGATCAGAATATAGGAAGGTTGTCGATTAGTCTGCTTTTCATCTATCAAGTTTATACACTCCTATATTCACTAGCCTTATGCTTATGCAACCATATTTGTGGCTAACATCGTGTCGCCAAATTGAATAATGCAACGCAACGGATGCATTGTGCTGTGTTGCACACAACCATGCTCTATCCTCTGCGTCACTCGCACTTCTTATTTGAACTCTTTCCATTATTGATAAATGTCTATCAAGCAAGTTACATTCAAGTTGCACTTATATTGAGTTACATTCATTCAAGTTGCACTTATATTGCTAATAACAATAACGAGTTGTAAACTGACTTCAAATGATTCCCCTTATAATATGAAAAAATCTCTCGACTCTAATGAAATATAAAATATAAATGACTGAAACATAATTAGTGATTTATAATTTGCGAACAAAGAGAACCATTTGCAACAGAATCAAACACTAACATCGGACATTACTGCATTTCTAGAATGACCTTCGGATCCAAATGTCTTGTTTTCGTAGATGCTAAAGGTGGCCTTCGTATCTGTCACCGTATTCTTCGTTGTTTTCACTTCACCCAAACCAGGTTCACACACTTCCGTAAGCATTGTTACTAGTACGATTTGCGATTTCTGTGTTTCACAACGAAACAACTGCTGTGACACACATAATCTATCATTGTCAAACAAAAATTTCCGTGTTTGATACTTATCGAAGGCTGTTGTCACTTCTAGCGGGGATTCGAGACGGTGGGAGGGATGAGGTTGATGTATAGGGGTCGAGATATGATGCCACGTGTATCGAAGGAGGTGAGGTAATGAAACAGCCTCGATTTATTGGTTTCTGATATTTCTACAGACCTGCTAATCGATTAAATTGAAACATTCCTTCATGATTACCTCGAGGTTATAAAGTGCCTTTTTTCTTTTTCTTAATACACCATGCATGTTATAATGCCAGTTATAGGACTCTTCTAGCTTATAAATTCGTGCGTTAGACTGCTGTTAATCACGTGGTTTCGCTTGAATCTATAAGCTTAAAAAATGTTTAAATTATTAATTTTAGATGTTTAAATTGTAAAAAGCTTACCGTTATTGCTAAATTATGCCAAATGGTACTAATCAACTGTGCAACATTCCAACTACCATTGCTGGATGCAGCATTTGTGAGAGGTAATAAATTTTGTATTCTTTCTATCCTATATCGTCTTTTCAATAAAAAGGCTTTTTATTGAAAAAAAACATTGCATTGATTTCATCCTCTATTTTCGTAGTTTGCTACACGTTCTTATTATATTTTTTTTTATTATCCCTTTCGTCACCTCTTGTAACATGCTAAATTCGTTACAGAATTGGAAGTGGTACATTTTCTACTGTTTTCAAAGCGTTATCTGTGTCTCGCAATAACAGTGGTGTGCGTACTACTGTAGCAGTTAAAGTTATGAGCATGCAGGCTGCGAATGCTTCAAAACTCAACTCAGATTGTGTTATTTCAGAAATAAAGATCTTGAAGAATTTAAAACACAGGCATTCCTTGATATTTTGGTTCAGATTAAGAAGACTGATTCAAAGAGATAATAGCCTGTTCCCACTTCTGTTGAAGACAACTGAAACTATGAGGTTACAAGGTAGCAAAAAAATTTAATTTACTTTTGAATAATGTAGAGTCTGACGTAACTGTAAAATATGAAACAGAAATGGTTGGTCATTTCCAAATATGTGTGTAAATATTCTTTCAGAAACATTGTTTGCTTATATGATTTTCAATGGGATCGGAACAATATATATCTTATCATGGAATATTGTGGTGGTGGCGATTTGGGCTCATTCATCAAGCATTATGGTTCATTGCCTGAAGCCATTACACGTCGTTTTTTTCGTCAATTAGCCTCAGCAATCCAGTATATGCGAGCAATGAATGTGGCGCATATGGATTTGAAACCGCAAAATATCTTACTTACTAACCGACATGAACCTTCTATCAAGGTTTTTTAAATCAAAAATTGTAATCAAATTTTGAAAATTACGTGTTAAGCGTTAAATAAGAATCCACAACTTTGTTTTAAAGCTTTACATGAACCCTCTCCTAAAATAAGTTGTTGCAGGTGTCGGACTTCGGTCTTTCTCAGCACTTAAAGAAGAATGAACAAGCGTCATCATTCCGTGGCTCGCCTCTTTATATGGCACCTGAAATTTTTTGCCGAGAGCCATATGACAGTCGTGTTGATTTGTGGTCAAGTTTTTTTCCTTGGGAACGTACTTCTGAATATTATGCTATATTTGAAAAAAACTTTAATGCAGAAGTTAAACTCATTATGTATTGCAGGTCATGTGGTGTTATTCTGTACGAATGCTTATATGGTGTGCCACCATTTATTGCCCACACATATGATGAATTGGTGGAACAAATTTTGTCGCAACAATCCATAAATTTCCCGGTGAATGTGCGCCTTTCGTGTGTTTGTCTTGACCTTTTGCAAGGTCTATTTTTATTTACAGTTCAAAGTTTAATGCAAGGTATATTTTTATGTAATAGTTGTAATCCATATATTTATGGTCTTCCGTGAGTACCCTGTATACAATAAAATAAATCTTAAACTTTTAAACTTACAGCTCTGCTCGTTCGTAATCCTTGTGATCGCATTACGTTTGAGCGGTTTTTTACGCATCCGTTTGTGGATCTCATGAAATTGTCCTCCTCTGCTGAGCTAGATAAAGCTGATAGTTATGTTAAGAAGTCACAGCAAGCTGAATCTGAAAATGTATTTTTTTTATATACAAATGAAATTTATTTACTAAGGATTTTTGTAAACACGATATCCTTTCCGAATAAGAGTTATCAAAAATATTTGATTTCATTACGCTATGGCATGAGTCACAGGACAGTGGAAAATTTTTTTGTAACCCTGAAGAAAAGTGTACATAAATTTACCAGAAAAGCTACCATTAAAAAATGATTCAGTAGGAAGAACTCTCTGTCATTTATATTGTGTTTTGAATAATTTCTTGACAGAATCTAACTGAAGCGACAAAATTATTATCAAATGCCGTCCAAATCTATATTCACTGTTTGGAATTGTTCGATGAGGGTGAAGAGAAAGTAAAATTTCGTGAGAAAATTAAAGGGTATCTGGAACATGCTGAAAATATGAAGGAATGTCTACGACCTGTTATTGGAGAATTCCCTCCATCGCAATCATTTGATCAGACGGAATGGAATGATTGGCCTCAGGTATGTTTTTTTTGAAGATGGATTAGAATTACATCTAATTTGTTTATTCTGGACCTTCAAACTGCTTTTAAACTGCTTCGATAGATAAGGTCTTATTTTAAGCTATTTCAAATTAGTACTTAAGGATATATACGTCTTTAGGTCCGTGCTGCAGACTTAATAGCACACACGGCACATGATTTGGAACGTCAGGAACAGTGGAATGAGGCATTGGCGAAGTATACATTGGCAATTGAAAGTGCAATGCATGTTTTAAGCAATGAAAATCGTGGTACAGAGCGTTCCATCAAATTACAACGCAAAGTTGCCAGGTGGTTATCCGCTGCGGAACGAATAAAAGTATGTTCTATTTTTGCATTTCACTTCTTTTAATCTTGTAATTGGCGATATTATTTTGGCAGGTGAATAATATAATTTCTTATTTCGTTAGACTTTTATACGTTCTATAATCTTAGAATATTTTTTCTTTGAATTTTATTACGTTAGGTTTGATCACTTACACAGAGTGTGATTATGAAATTTGTACAAGTAAGTAATTAAGCCCTATCCACCTACTCAATTTTTGGAAATGTATTTTAATTAGTGGGAATACGCTGAACATTATGATGAAAGTTTTGATGCTTATTTTGAATTCATTTTCATCAGAACTATGTGCAAGTTATGAATGATGATTACGAAATTTCGACAGACAGTGCTGATGAAGCTGAGAAACAACTCGACCAAATTACCGCAAACAAGCAATGTGTAGTCTCATAAAATGTAGCTTAATCAGTATATTAATCTAAAGAATTGTAAATATTAAGATGAAATCCATCTGATTCTTCTCTTATTATCTTGTTATTGCTGAATGTATACTATTGAGCCTACTTCTCTGAATTATTTTGAAACAGCTACTAAACAAGCTAGAAAAGGAAAATCGATTTTTAATCAACATCAGTTTTATGAGTCCGATGAAAATTCTTTATTCATCTGTTATCTTCAAGAAATAAAAAGCACTGTAGAGTCACACTAGCAGACTTAAACAACTTCCGATTTAGTTATTGTGTGATCTTAAAAAATCATAAAATGTAAGTGTTTACCTAGAGATTGTGATTATATATATTCCGTCTAATTTTAGTGGTATTGAGATTTTACTCGCTTAATGATAAAGAAAATATCATAATGAAGTCTTTCTCGGAATTCTTTCATTTCGAATAATCAAAAATTCTGCCTCCATTCTCTCTCTAATAGTAATGGTAATATCGTTAGGAGAATACTGATGTTGTTTTTAGATTAAAGGAACATTACTCGCTTTTCATCCTAAACCTTAATGTGACACTCAGTTTTTAGTAATGATGAGTTATTCTTATCGAAATTTCAGAATTTTTGTAACGGGTTGTTAAATATGTGAGATGTCAATTTATTTGCTCGTATAAAAACATATTTATTTTGTTTATAACTAATATGGAAACGGTTAAATTTTCTGAACATTCGAAGAGTGGGAGTGGGTCATTCAAAGAATGAAGAAATGCTTCTTGTCCAACCATTTTGCTAATCCTGATCGAATTGTCGAAAGGAATAAAAATCCAATTCTACCTGATGCTTCGGGAATTGATTAGTGGTTGTTTAAGGTCGGTGTCGCACTCTGGCTTGAATTTAGATTTACAAATCAGAACTAATTAAAGTTAGGTCTTCTTAATCTAATTAATGTGTTGAGTGGAAACTTTCGATACATACTTTCCGTGACTTTAATGTTAGTAAGATCCGTTATAAGTGGATCAAACTGCTTCAATTTTGCTTTAAACGTTTTTTATTGCTAAAGATGAATGGGAAACGTGACATACATTCAGCAACTTATTTTCACTAATCATACTATTAGTGAAATAAAAGGCCTGATTATTGCTCCGTTTTCTTTTGTTTGACTCCCCCAATAAGTTAATTGATCGACAAGCTCTCCATAGTGTGGCAACTAACTAATAATTTGCAATGTTGGATGTGGATAAAAGCAAATTACAGAAAACTTACCTGAAGATAAATCGTCCAGCTAGAAAACTTGGGAATGAATGTACGCTATTCAAAGAAAAAGATACCTACAGACAGATATAAATGAATAATCGTTTGAAAAAATTGCACGTGTCAAAAGGAAAATCAAAAAGTTGAACGGGATTCAAAATAATAAAAAAAAGAATATTAGTTATCTCGGGTTTTGTTGCCATACAAAAATCATTGGGAAAGTGATTACAATTGACCGATTGCACCTGTTATCACACATTTTAAAACTCTGAGCCCACAGATCTCGCAACTGTTCAGCGATAACTTTGAGTGTAACATTTGTTGTAGAATCAGGCAGATTTCAGCCAAAAAAGTCTCGCTGCCACACAACTTCTGGTCGAAATAGTGCGGAATTTCTTTAGTTGATTTCAATTCCTTCCCATTAAAAATAACAAATCCACTTTTCCAGGATTATCTTCACTGCAATGATTAATCCTTTAACAATATCGAAAAGCTTAGAAACCGATAGAACATCATTTACAAGCCCAAATTATGAATTGATTAGAAGCTTAATAAACTTCCAAAAGGATTATCTTTTGTTACAATCTAACAACTTGCAGTTAGTATGATAAATGGACTTATTGTCATTTATCAATTGAATTGGTGTTGATTGATGAACAGTATGGCTCTGTGTAATCTCGTTGCTTCTCATTCATTTGTTCAAAATGAAATTTTATTACGATGACATCTTTATAATGTTATTCCAAATCTTGCCTGATATGATCAATTTTCGAATTGCTGTTGATTCGAATTTTACGATTATTGCTTTCATATCAAATTCGGATTTCTTTGAACTATCCTATTTTAATTCATTCGTTGATACTAAAATTTAACTAAATTATTCGGTATATCCAGTAACAATATTTTACACGGTTAGGAATCGATAACCTATGGAAATGGTAATACCAACTTTTTAAATGGCAGTATTGATGTGTTTGAAGGTCCTAGAGGTCGTGAAAAATTCCAGAAATGGTGGCATGGGAAAAGTGACGAGGTAGATGCATTTGTCCTCTATCACAGTATGTGATTTACAAGTGGCTTTCCTATTTACTCAACTAAATCTCAAAATCTTTCGCCGTCAAAAAACATACTGTTGAAAAAAACGATATCATGTAGGAGTGGAAAAAAATTACCAAGTTTAAGGTTTTTGTTGTTTGCAGCTTCAATCATTTTTATCAGATTTCTTTAAGAAAAAAAATGTATTAAATTAATTTGCACACTTTCTCTAGCCATCAATAACATCCACCGAGAAGAGGAAATTAATTCTTTGTTCAGTACTATGAATGATTAAAAAGAAATCATTGGACATTCAATTTTGAAACAGCAAATAGAAGCGATTTCCAAAAATATGGTTCTCATATTCATTCTCTGTAGCTTCCAGAATCTTTTTCACACAAGTGTTTAAAAAAGTTCAAGACTAAACTCAAATATAAAATGATTCATATTCGGTATTTTCAGGAAGAAAATAGGAAAGAAGAAAAAAGATGCGTCAATTGCTTGAATTAATTTGCGCAATTTTAAGCTAGGCAAACAATTCATACATGATAAAAAATAAGACGACAAAATGAATCTGTAACATTCGAAATACCTCTTAAAATATTAAATTGAAACTGAATAGCATTTGATTAAAGTAAGTGATCTCTCGATAAATAATTTCCTTTTTGTAAAACAAAGGTTTATTTCTTTTCATACAAAAAATTATTATTAAATGCGGTTAGGTGTACTTTTGATTGATTTCACTCCCAAATGCGTTCGTAAAATCAAATTAACATAAAAACTAAATTCAAAGTTAGGAACTTAAATTGCACAACTAAGATTGTTACCCATTTTCTCATTTGTTTACACAAACATTTAAGCAACCATTATATACAGAACATTCGTCTGCACACATACACCACATCCACAGCTACAAACGATCATCAAACCAATCGATGCCATTTCAAACATTTCTCAAATTTTATTAGTCGTTTCACTTTAAATTATTTTCGTTCTTTCTCCTACCTTGATCTGAGTGACAGTCTATCATCTTAATTCTCACTCCTCAGATTGTCAATGTCTCAGATTATCAATGTACCTAATTAATTATCACACTGCAATGTTTTTCATTGCCTTTTTACTTCTCTTAAATGTATAATATATATTATCATACTGTCTAGCTTTTATCATTCTTGTATCGGAATTAGGATCAGGAAAGTTTTTTTTCTCATTGAAGCAATTTCATAATAATATTGATAACGTTTTCAAAGATAAATCTAATTGGTTCATTTCGGCTAATGTGAACTAAATTTCTTTCGTGCCATATATCATATTCTTAAAATGTTCTAATCGTTTGCTGGCTGTAATCGGTGAATGTATTAACAGTTGTTTTTTTTTCAGATCATTTTGAATGATATGCATAAGAAGTGACGTTATTTGTCAGCAATGGATCACTTTATTGGAACTTGAGAATTGAAATGAAAAAATGAATGGGTATTTGCATAATGAGTGAGAATAGAAATGGACAATGTACACAAATATACTTACTTCTTTATACGGTCTTCTTTTGGGTAAATTACCTTAAATAATATATTTAGGTAACATTAGTCAAAATCTTTGAAGGATGACTTTCAGTAATATTGACAGTCATTTAATTTTTAATAAATTACTGCCGTGGATAGAAGGTTAACTACTATGTAGCTTGTTTAGTTGATATTGTAATGCTGCACTATTGATAAAATGTTGGAAATTAATCTTATCGATGTATGATCAATGACCCATTTGATATTTTCGGAGTCAGTTTCCTTATTCAAACATTTTAAAAATAATTTTTTCTACGAGTAATTTGTTTATTTCATCAGAAGTGTGCTCATTTAGATTTCTGGAAATCTGGATGCTCCGGCAAATTTGGGTCCATTGCTGTTCACTTCTAATTTAAGCTTTACCAACATTGCAGATTACTGGATTGGCACTAATATTTTTATCATTGTGGACACTGCTAAATCCACGTCGTAATTATGTCCTCGACTTGGTCGATTTCTCGGAGGATGATCCATTACTTCGAGGAGCCACTTATGTGGCTCTTGTTACCGGTTCTCTTACAATGGTAATTGGTTTTATTGGTTGCTGTGGTACGATCAAAAAATCGCTGTGCTTGCTAATTACTGTTCGTTTTCCTATCAGTTTAAAATTTATTTACAGAACAGCTATATAAGTTTAGTTTTTGTACGGTAAATATTTTGTAAAACTGTTGAACTTGATTTAATGTTCCACATGAATCTATATAACTTCAGTGGAAAACTGGATAATATGCTTTTATATTTGAAAAGTGGACAAGATATGATTTTTTTGTTAGATGTATTTTCATGAGAATCGTTGACCCTGTAATGTATTTGACTGATAATTTAGAAATATATAGAAGTATATTGCAAAAGTGCATCCAAGACTTTGCAGAATTTTTTCAGTTCATGATCTGTTTACTCATATTATTTTTTGCTGATGTAACGATCGCCTGTCTGGCATTGTTCTATCGAAATAAGGTTAGTAACTTTTGATATGATCAGTTAAAGTTCGATACTGTTATGTGTAATAAGGTGTAAATTGCAGTTTCTTGGCAATAAGCTTAGTGTGTATTTAACAAAATTAATACATGATCGATATTGTCGTCTTTATTGGGTCACGCCACTCATCGACATCATCCAATATTACGTAACTTTTATTTAAATTTGGCTTCTATTAATTAATATTTGCAATAATTTGTAACAGCACTACCACTCGGTTCAAATTACTTCAGCTACCGAACTTTGCGAGAAATAGTCTAACTGCTATGTTTTTTGTTTTCTCTCTTTTTTTGTAAGAACTGAAAGACATGTGAAACTCATGAAAGAATATGAAAAATGTTGAACATAAAATAAGTGTGTGATCTTATTTATCAGAGACTAGAATATTGTTGATGAAGATTCAGTTCAAATCTCAATTCGTGTAATGCTTTAGAAGGATTTAATCCCTTTGTTTCCATATTTCAGTTCCGTCATTTGCATGGATGTCACTGTTTTATTTTTTGATGCTTCTAAAATATGAGGATTTATAGCATTTGAAAAGATGAAAAGTTATGTTGTATTATAAAATGTTGTTATATTACTGTCTTTCGTTATTGCAAATAGAAATCTTCAAATATTCCATCCAACTGTTGTCACAACTCAACCGTTAATTTTTTTTATTACATGCTGTTTAACATTTACAAAACTTTTCACAATTACTCGCAAGCAGCTTTATTTTAAACATATACTAACCTACCGAATAAATATATCTTTTTTGGAACTTTAGAAGAAGAAAGGGGTATCGGAGTTTGTAGAAAATTATGGAAAATCTAACCTTTCGTTGCGAAATGCTTCATTTACTTTTCAATAAGTTCCATGATTGAGAACTCTTGAATTATACCATTCGAATTTTCACGAGGGATTTTGTACAAAATTTTAGTTTTTGACAAGTGATTTTGACCAGAAATTGCAATCGCTGGTAAAAGAAAGTTATGGTATTAATTCAAGTATCGAATATAATGTCAAAATAACGTCGCTTATTGATAGACTACAGTTTAACGTTAGTTATATTTTCTTTATTAAAATTTCAACAGCAGTGAATATTGAATATTGATAGTGATAGTGATATTGAGATGATATATGAATATCTCAAGCTTTTTAATTTACAGTAATTTTTAGGAGCAGTGTTGTGGTTCAGTGGATTATAGGGAGTGGAGTAGTAGTCGCTGGCGCACATCCTACTGGAGAAGTGCTGAATTACTTCAGCAGCAATCACAATTCAATTTTGATGTAGTGCCAAATACATGCTGTGTGCAATTGACTGGTGCAACACCGATGAATCCAGTTGCCAGAAGTTCATCACGCTGTCAACAGTTTCAAGCTAATAAATTATGGAGGCATCAAACGGTATCCTAATACTGGTAGTAAATGCTATGAGTGAAATTTCTGACGTTTGTCGGAATTATTGAAATATCTCAAGGAATTCAATGTTTCAACTTAAATTGGAATTGGGGCAGGCGTAACACATCCTAAAATTCAAGCTTTTTTGATAAACTTCGCTTTGTTAGAAATCTTCTTGATCGGTTTCGCAAACCATTAAAATTATTTACTGCATAAAACCTCAAATTTTGCAAATCATCAAGTAGAATTGAAACTTAAAATTAAGCAAAATAGTAGTCAATATTTTTATTTGAGTTTCTTCTACTCTTTCATTTTCTTGATATTCATTCGTGCCTTTATATCTTATGGAGTACACTTTACACTTTATCTTCCTGTAGTTCAAAATTATAAGATCGTTTTGCGACTGCATGGTATTTACGGCAATGCTGAAAAGTAAAGGACATGAGAAATTAACGGTCTACGTGTATACTTGTATGCACTATCATGTGCTTTTGATTTTGCTACTATTTGTTACCACAAATCATATCATAATTACATTCAGCAAATTTCTGTTGTTTAATTAACGAATTTCTTCTTTCGTCTTCGTCCATTAGCTGATGAATTTTTCGGAGTGGAATGTTTCCTTCCATTTTTTTGTTGTCATATCATTACACTAATGTGTCATGTGGTTGTTTCTGATATTTTAATCCATAACTTTCATGCTATTCTTTGCAAAGTAGGAGCTTGCCGTGATTTGTTCCTACCGAAAGGTGTGACTAAAAAATGTTTTAGGCAAAATTGTAAATAATGAATTTCTAGGAAAATGGTTTATTCTAAGAAGTTATGTAAATAATTTCATTGTAGATTAACTGACTCAAATTTCAAACACGCCTTTCTATGTGTGTTTATTGATACATTTATAAATGGCATGTTCTTCCAGCAACAGTGTTGTGGTGCCACCGGTCCCCATAATTATTATGATTCATTTTGGTACAAAACTAATACAGAGCGTGGTACCATATCATTTGTACCACAGTCATGCTGCAAACAAATGCAAGAAGCACGAACCTGGTTCATAAAACCAATTGATCCAATGTGCACCTCATATAACTACTACAATTCTGCTTTCAATAGTTCTGTAAATGTTCAGGTATGGTGCTTGTATCTTTTTTCACATTTTATTTTAGTTAAAAAAAGATTATAGTCATCTACAACGACAGAGTACATCCTAAAATATTACAATTTTATTATCAGAAAAATTAAATTTCTAATTTTTAAAGCCTCATAATTCTCCAGCTAAAAACTTGTTTTTGCTTCAAAATTATTCAATAATGTGTCGTAGCATAACGATCATTAGAATATATCAAAAGTACATTACAATAGTTTTCAAGCGGAAAAACGTGTTTTTTGCAGTTTTCTGGGTATTAATCTCAATAATGAATTAGAATTAGTGATAAATGATGTTTCAGTATGATCAATATTATCAAACGATGCTGGAAATAATTAGAACCTATATTAGACTTATTTAAATATATTGATAATACAGCGAACCACATTAGCAGAGTCATAAACTTGAAGATGAGCAGAGCCATTTTCATAATTTCGTGATTAAAAAAGTTTAGTGTTCAGTGTAAAAAAAAGTTCAGTTGGAGAATCGAGAAAAGAGTTATTTAGTAGAACAGTAGGGTAACTTTAATCCGAAATCTGGAATGACAATTACAGCACGATAATTAATCAGGATTAATTGCGATGAAGCAAACGCTTGAGAAGAAAAGGATTGCATTTAAAAGAATGGTGGTGAAGGAAGTGAGTGGGGACAACGACAATGGAAAGATTTGAAATAGTCATTAGCATTTTGGCGCTGAATACATTGGCTCTCCGTTCTCTGGTAGAGGAAAGTTTCTCGTGAAAAAACTGACCATATCCACAGCTCTCAACGAGAAATGTAGAGTGAAGGGATACTCTGAAAAACCGGACATCCACCGCTCTGCACAGAATCAAAAAACGCATGCTGTTCAAGATTGTATAAAAAGGTACTGTGCGAATGTTAATACAAGAAAGATGAAATACGCAAAACTTGGAATTTGTTTAAAAGATGCAAAATGTTGGGATATGCTGATGATTAGGCGACAAGTGGTAGATTTGTCTTAGTTGAATATGGTACAATAAATTTCAACAATGCTAAGTGATCAACACAGATGACGCTAATGTACAGGAAGTAGGAAGATGTCATAAAACAAGTCTTGCAGATGTTGACCGCTTAAATTTGTTCGTTGCATTATTGGAGATGCTTGATAAAGTGGAGCGATATTCTATTTCATCTCTCCCCAACAGAATCTAAAACCTGGAATATTTTTGCGTCGATTGCAGAAAAAATAACTGTTGAAGATCGATTGAAGAAGTTATTAAGAACTATGAACATAAAGGAGCATCAAGCAAATGATAAGGAGAGAATATTGCATATATTAGGCGCACATTTGTTAGCAAACTTGATTCCTTCTCATGAAGGTCTTGTTACAAACCACACACAGGAAATGGGAAGGATGGAGAAAAGTTTTGACTTAGCAAAATTTTTGATTTAAGAATGTCACTATTGGTTAGTGGTGCATGCTGTCCAAAGAGCAATCGTTAACAGTTGACAGTTTGGTGCTGTATTTGTGGGTATGAATGGAGACATTTATATCCATTAATTTACTCATTAATCTCCCACTCAATTTCTGATGGTGCCGTGATTGAGTCAGGACTTTCAGGTAATGGGAAATTACCTAAGCATTAGGCCATTTATCCCTTTATGTTTCATCGTTCGTCTAACCGCTGCTTCTCGATTTTGCAGTCAGTTTGTGAATAATCTTGTTTTCATATTTCCTTTCATTCAAGGGAAACTGCTTAATGGATTGCATTCTCTTATACACTTCTTTGTTCATTTATTTCATTTTTTAAACAATTTTCATATTTTCACACATCATTTATCTCACTAATAGGTGTACAAGAGCAAGAGTTTTGAGAGCGTGGAATTTCTTGCTAAAAATTGACAATTGCATTTATGCGCACATCAAATATTGCATGGACGGAAAGAAATTTAGATAATTTAAGGATATAGGGATTTGATTAAGGATTATTCAAAAAACATCCCTCACTTTTCCAGGAAATTTTAAATTAGGTCGCAGAAATATGCGTCAAATTTATAAAATTACCTTGAAATACAGTATTAGAAATGAAGTATATGTTCATTAACACCCAAGGCAATGCGCTTGTATTTTTTGTGAATTTTAGGGTTGTCATGAAAAGCTATTGGACTGGTTAACTGTCCAGACAATCATATTTGTCTCGGTTGGTTTATCATTTGCAGCATTTCAGGTATGGTTTATTTTATTTCATTTAAAATAACTAAGCTTCAGACAGATAAAAGACGTCACTTCTATTTGTATCCCTAAATCCTCCTTTTCTGTTCTAGCTCTACCTACTGATGGAATAGTAAAATATAGTTAGAAACCAATAATGATTAAATGAAGGTGAAAATTTACGACTAACTTATAACTATTTGTAGTCATAATAAGAAACATTTTAGCTTATTGGAATTTGCATTGCCTTATCGTTGTCGCAACACGTGCATGACTTCTCTTACTATATTACAGTATAAACGATTCGCGCATTTTCGTTGCAAATATCCACATTTCGCACACGAAATTTCTTTCCTGATATATTTAATAAATTTATGTTTTTCCATTCCATCTCGAAAGTTTTTCACTGTAAAGAATGGAAATATTCCAATAAAATCTTCACTTATTCTATTGTTGACTGACATTACAAAATTTTTGCATATAATTTACAACAAATTTGCATATGACTTACCAGGAAATTTGCATATGATTTCCCTACTTAAAAATGCAGGGTGATCTGTAATATCATTGCAGTATAAACAGCTCTCTGTATACTCTGCTTCACCCGATCTTCGAGTAGATCCGTTTTGTACATTGTCCCCACTAACCGATTAGGTTGTTGGTTGTACGGAGTGTCCCGAATTCAGATCGTTATGTATGGAACTTTATATTATTTCAATGTTGTTAATTAAGTCTTTTGCAATTGTTTGTTTGAAATAGCGTTAGTTTTTTTCCCATTTCTTTACTCAATGTTTGAGCTAGAAGTAAAATTTTCGAATGTTTGTTTTTAGGAAGTAAATTAGATTAAGATTGTAAAGAATATGAGTTCAAGAGTAGTAGGCGTCTTCAATATATAAATTTGAGGGCAGTAGGAACGATAAGATTTATATTTAAAAATAGGTGTTAAAAAGCATGAAAGAAGTTCGTGTATCAATATCTGGTGTATTGAATCCATGGATTTTAAACTGTTTTCATCTGTTAAAGTGCTCATCGGTCCGATTTGTTTTAATAAATGAAAAATAGTTTAAGGTAAAAAAAGGTACCGCAAAGGTCGACGAGTTCTAATCATTGTTATAGATTTGGCAATATGGGTAAGAAAGGCAAGAAACATCACAAAAAAGTCAAAAAGTTTAAAAACAAAAATGCCGTTACGCAGATGATATCAGAAATACAAGAGATCCCCCCCAGTAACGACCTCTTATCAACAGTTGAGGAGATGCGGCCTTTAAGTGACCCTATCATAATATGGCGTAACTCGAAAACCGAAAATATTAGCCGAACGCCAGAAGAAAACTATAATGGAGCATCCACCGAACGTAAGATGACATTTATTCTGTAACGTTATTAACACTTTTATAGTAGCAGATTGAAACACTTGTTATTAACAAGAGATGCATTATCATAAGTTAGTGTTTACTGCTCTTTGTCATGTATCTGATAATATTTCGTGAATGATCACATTATTTGTTGGTGGATAGATCTACATGACTCAGATTCATAATTTTAACCAAGAAGTTAACCGTTCAAGCTATTCGAAAGATTAGATGAACAGATTTTATAGTGTCAATTCAATAAAATGGTAAAAGTTTTTTTACTACTTTAGCATATAAAAATAGCACAGATAAGATGAAGTCATGTTTCATCATTTATTAGAAATCAAAAATACTCAATAAAAAGAACGCATTAAGACATCTAATTTGTGATGAGGTGAAGAATATCTCTAACGCAACGTCACAAGCTGATCTTTCAAATTTCACTGAAATATTTTGCCTTTTTTTATTCGCTAAAATTAATTTGAAACTGTAGTAGTGGGAACACAATCTTTCAAAGTAACAGATTAATCCATTCAATTTTGCAATGTTAAAAATGTTTTTTTTAATTTTGGAAAAAAATCTGAACGTACGTGAATGCTAAATTGTATTACATTGAACGTAGGAATCTGAACTGAAATACAAACGATTTTTGGTAAAAATAATAAATATATTCAAATATTTTAGATCAAAAATTGGAGAATCATAGTACATTAACAACTGATTACCATTGTAAAGGTGATCAAAAATTTCTGGAACAAGATTATCGTGGTGCTTATGCTAATTTCTTGTGTGCGATGAAAATAATAAGCGAACACGGGAATATCGATGATGAATTTGGAAGAGATACGAAAATGTTACGGGTGTTCCAGGATAAATGCTGTCTTTGTTTCTGGGCACTCTATAGAAAGGAAAAACAACAGGTCTGTTTTTGAGAATTTTTATGCAAAAAATGATTAAAATCACACTGGTCTTTTTTTATTATCATTATCGTAAAGCTGAAATTTTAGTTGGCGAAAGATTGACATGAAGTTTAAATTTAATTTATTTTTTTAAAGATAAAATTAGTCAAGTATTATTGTTTAGTATACAACTGATAAATTAATATTTCGTCCGAATAACCACTTTCTAATTCATTGCACTTTTTTAGGTTTTTCTTAATAAATGTATTGAATGCTACAACAAATTGATTGAAAAAGATCTCTGTCATCCTTTTTGGTACAAAAGGCGAGCAACACTTCTGCGCGATGAATATCAAAATCATATATCAGCTTATAAAGGTCAGTTTACTTTTTTTTTCTTATTTCTCATCTCTTGTCATATGAAGTCATTTATTGCCTCATAGCAGCCTTGATTTTAATTAGAAACGAATCAAGTGCCATTCGTCCAGGAAATCTGTTAATATTTCATTCCATCTTTGGCCAATATATGACAATCTCTCGGACTTCTTGAAAGTTGCGGGATAAAGCTACCAGTGCTGTAATGTCTATCATTCCAATTTCATTCCACTTATTATACAGAATGGTGCCGAAATATTAAGAAATTACTGAATTAAAAATTCGATTTCAATATCTAATAGCATTATTAGATTTTGTGGTATTTACGATATTAATGGACGAATACGATTTAATATTGACAGAGGAGGAAATGAACGAGATCAGCAGTTGTTTTAATGAAGCAGAGGAGATGGCATGGTCATTAGAAAAGAACAAAGTAAATCACTTTTAAATACAACATATCAAATTACGGTTGTTACGGGAAATTTTAGAATATTAAGAATTGTGGAAATGCCGGGCGTTCAATGCGTGCGTTTCAGACCGCTACTGTTACTTCTTGCCAGCAGAATAAGAGAGCTGTTTTCACAGATAAGACTTTCATAAGTTAGCATTCAAAAAACTTTGAAATACTAAGGATAGCTAGCTATCTAATCATTCTTATCCATAAAAGTGATAAAGGGAAAAACTGGAAATTGAACAGGTAGGGATTTACTAGTAACAAGTGAACATTTAATACATATATGCATTAATTGCTTATTAGTAATAGCTTAACGCTCTCTCATTCGACGTAGTAAACGTAATCTCATTAGCATACCGCTTCTCTTCTCACTATCAAATTTACCGAGATAGTTTCACCGCTCGTGGTATTAGTTCACCTTGCAATGAATAGTTTGCATTACAACAGAGTCTCGGAATGATTCACTGTACTGAAATTATAATTTAGATGATGGTCAAGAAACCTTTCCTAACCTCGGATTGGATTAATTTATGGGCTTTATGTCCATGTGACGATGTATTGCTCCAAGATTTGTTATTTATTCGTGAAGAAGACAAAAATCCGCAGAATAAATCCACACTTGTTGAAAGGTTGCAATTTTATTTTGTCTAATTTCAAAGCATATTTCAATGACTGCAATAAGGTGTCCAGTCGGAAGATATTTAAGACGAAATGATCATTGGAAATGACAATCCATTTAACAGTTCTCCGGCTGTAACGTGACAACAAGTCTTTACATAGTCTTTTGGAATGGCACTCCTCATTTATATCACTAAGCTGATTTTCTGCTACCTATTCTTGGCAAACTATAGCAGGATGTTGTCTTCTCCATATCAAACACTTTCAAAATAATTTCCTGTCGGAAACGTATTTTACTTATACTTACTTACGTATAGCTCAGTTTGATATTTATACAAATTCTATCCTAATTATGTTTGCAACTAAAAAAATTTTACAAATTGCATATTTAACAAAAATTTCTGCTGCCTCTCTTTCTCTTTTTTCCTTATATACATATATAATAATTAACAAGAGATTTCTATATGATATAATACTTTAATCAAATTCAAATAAGGTCATTTGGATTACTGTGCCTTTCTCCTTTGTACTTATACCATTGCAGTGCTTATAAAGATGCTCTGAAGCAAATTGCTCGAGGATACCACAGTATGGCTGTTAACACATTACTTCATGCATATGCACAACGTCAAGGAATTTATAGATGTGAAGCATTTCTACTGCTCGCCTTAATTTATTCACAACTGAATAACAATGAGGTAAAGGCATCCCAAATACGTCATCTTAAAAAATTCAAAAATGTATATTGTGATTGCTGAATTAATTATCTGGTAGCTTTTCTGATAAGTTTCTCATTCATAGGTGAGCAAAAATCTTGAAAATAAGGACTGGTAGCATAAATCAGCATAAATTTCAGGTCGATTATTACTTGGACACTTTCGTAGATCTTTGGCGTGTTGACCAGCACAGAGTGCCGCTTCCCCGACGAAAGCAAATTTTTATGCGGTACATGAGCTTATCGCGTGCTGTGTCACAAGCACCTTTTCAGTAAGTGAAGTAGATGATATGCAATGAGAAGTTTTAAGCTGTTATCTGACACTAACATAATAAAACAGTATAATATTTTTTTAAAGGGATCTCGACTTATCAATGTTTACACCCCAAGAACAAGCACGCTTTTATACACAGATAGCGCTCACAACAGTCTTAAGCTTAAAAATTTTGTGTGGCTCGCCAGCAAACCGATTGACGCTGAATAAATGGAATTTGACGAAGTTGGAGATTATAGAAAATTCATGTGATCGAGCTATTAAAGCCGACAAGAAGTTTTTGTATGCTCGGTTAGTTCAACAGGCTTTAACCATTGGTTGTGTCAGATATCTTTTAAATCACTGGATTGAGAATATTTGCATAGCTTCTCGTATCTTCCGCACAGGTTTGTGCATTACTTTCCATCGTATTCTATCCATCTTCTAACTCCTCCGGATGAAATGCATCATATAGTAATGAAAAAGAGATTAATTAAATGTGATGTGAGAGTAGTGCTTGGTGATTGAGGTGAAATTAGTGTCTTGTTAATTTGAAGTCAAGTATATTCATGTTTAGTATGCTAAGAGAATATACGGTGATGGAGATAGCACAAGCTGATAATTTGGGCAGACATTGCAAGTGCGCATTGGCTACACTTACAAAGAGCATTGAAGGTATTCAGCACCAATTCAAATCTGAGCACCGCTCTTTTGCTTTGTGGTGCCTTTTTTCTGTAAGTATCGACTTTTAAGTTCTTTTAATGATTAACTAATTCATTTCCTCGTAAACTACATGGCCTGACAATATTTTTGTAACTCCATATAGCCTTCTAAAACTTGCATTTGTTATTCTTATCCTCATTATAAACATAATATTTCTAGGCTCATTTTATTAACCACGAAACTGATGCAGCAATAAAATGTGGCCTAGAATTGCAGAAAGATTTACTATACCCTGGTTCTGTTATATCTTTTCTTATGTAAGTTTTCCGTCTGTTTTTTTAAACTTTTTGACTTATTTCGAAGTAAGTAATAGCTTATGTTTTGAACGATGAAGCAAATTATACAAAGACTTTTCAGCAATAATAAATATTCTCTAAAAGGAAAAATCGATGTAGAAGATGTTCAAAAGCGCATAATTATAGCCGAAGAACGACTTGAGTATGACCCCGAAAATTTTCGTTTATATTTAGACACTGCTACTTTATACGAACATTTGTTAGTATTTTTCAACTTGCGTGTTTGAATTCATCATTACTGATATTTTTTAGCACTTGAAAAACTAAGCTAATAAAATATTTTCTTAGTATCTGCGGGTCATCTTCTGCTGTTGTTGTATTATTAATCTATCCTAATTACCTCCACAGGCTCGCCATTGTATTAGTTGTTTCTACCATTGTTAGCACAACTTCACTTTTTTTGCTCAAATCCACTGGATTTCGTATTTTAAATCTCGGTATTTCCGATCTTTCCTGCCATTTTTCTCCAGTTCGGTATCTGGTAGCATGGGAATGTGAATTACTATGACTTTTTTCGCGTTACCCAAGATATAATCCTAAAGTTTTTAATGCCGTATCTACCCCGGGATATAACGATATTCATCGATTTATACGAGTTTTGTAACTACTTATATGTTTACTAAAGTTTTCTTAAGAAAAAGCTGATATTTGTTATCAGTTGACGGTCTTTTTTAATTAGTGTTTAATGACTGTTCTTATCATGCCAGTATTAATTATTCCATCTATCTGCTTTTTTTTAATCTTTTTTTTAAATCTCATATGTCAGCCATAACTTGTTGATTTTTCTATTACTGACAATGATTTCTTTTTTCAATTTACTCTTCGATCTTCATTTCAGCATTTTCTCATACTTGTCTTTTCCTCCGTTATTTTTGAGACTTATAAACCTGAACCGGCATTTCGCTTATCCATATTAACTTTTTCTTACAGTCTCTTTTATTCTAATTAAATTTATTACATATTTGTCCCAAATAAATATAGCTGATTCATATCACTACGTATTTTACAGTTATTAACTTCCCCTATTTTTTCATCCAGTTTTTAACTCATTTTCAGTTATTTTCATTTTCAATATTGGAATACTGGAACTGGTTCATATATTTGACACTATCACTTCCATTTACTTTTTACTTTAATGTTTCAGTACCTTTCTAACTTCTCTAGAAATGGTTAGCAGTAATTCTTTTACTGCTGTATGACTCTAAAGAAGCGCTAAATATTTATAAGCCTAAATATGAACATCAAATTCATAGATATTAAGAAATATGGATTATAATTTTAATGTTATTTATACGTTTCATTTTTTAAATTGTTCATAATTAATAAATACCAAAATTGTTTGCAATTTAGAAACCTCAAAGAAGAAGCATGCAGAAGTGCAAGTTTAGCTGTAAAATACTGGCCAGTTCATATCTTCTCAGAGCACTTGAAACTTTTAGTAGGCAGTGTGGTCGTGATGGAAACTATCATAGAAGCTGAAAAGAGACTCGAAACCATAAAAATCTGTATGGATATTATTCATCATTATTAATGTTAGCTTAAAATTTATTTGGAGGAAATGAGTCATTTATATTCAGATCTTAAAATGGAGAAAGAACGAAAGGGAAAATCAGATACGGATCCAAAAGTCACTGATTGTGTTGGCAAAACGTGTGAAAAAGAGCACCCAAAAAACGATGTACTAGAAGAACTCGGTAAGTTCTCTATATTTGTATGTTTAATCACATTTTCCTAATCACATTTTCCTTCATCTACTTCAGCTCATCAGTTTTTCTACTGTTTTACCTATCTGCAATTTGATCGTATTAGAAATGATATCCTCTTGTACTGTTTACAAATTTCATCTGTATTTTTTACTTTTTAGCATCTTTAGATAGAACAGGTGTGATTTTTAAAAATACCATTGAACAAATTTTGTTTGGATATTTTGATTATAAGGGATTTAGGCCATATAGTATGAAAGAGGACTAGATGATAAAGAAGTGAATGATGTTTATATTGCTATTAATGATTCCACCATATAACTGAGTGACACAAAGGAACATAATCTTTGATAGGGACTGTTTAAAATATCAGTAAAGGTAGTTCGAATAACAATAAAACTAATGAATGTGCTATACGTCTGATTACTTTTGACAGTTCTAATTTGCTATTTTACGATAAGGATTTTACATTAATTATGCAAGAATCTCACTTATTATAACCAAATGAACGTTTTTTGTTATTCCAAGTTCGATTTTTTATCGTATTCCTATTTAATCACTTTCAAAATGATCGAGACAGGCAGTTTCTGCCGTTTACTGTAGTTCATCTCTGTTCTGCACAGGTTACGATATTAACCATCTCCTTCAACATTCTTATCATGTTATCTACTTACAGACATATTATGCCTTTTCAGCTTCCGAAACCATGTTTTATCACAATATTCAGTCATACTTCAAATCGTCGCAGTTTTTCTTTATTCGTCATTTTTAAAAATCTATTCGAACCTATTGGAGGGACGGACATCTTCATTTACCGTATAATTAAAACGCTGTAGTTGTAAAATATTTGCAGGTAGCGAAACTAACGCAACAGAAGTGTTCGATCTTCTTGATACATAAGCTGCAAAGGTAGAAGATTCTCCGAACCCAAGCAAATGTAGATATGCCCAGAAGATGGGTAAAAATAAATATTAATTTTTAGTTTTTTTTGAATACTTGAAAAGTGTTTAATCACAAAAACATACTATTATTCTAAAGAAATTTGTTTCGCAGCACAGCTATAATTAGTTCTTCTATTTAATGAATGATATATGTATGCTAGCAAATTTATGAAGTTATCGTTTTTTAAGAACATATAAATTTTTCGAAAAGAATCCATGCATCTGTTTGGTGTGAAAAAGTAATTTGGGTTGAATAAATTTTCCAAAAATTTCCAAATGAAATGTTGTTTGCAAAAAAATTAAATAGTCTTGCAGAAGTTTTGATTTTAGTGATTTTTTAAAAAAGATTTTTTAAATAATATCGATCTTTCACAGTGCATGTTTTGTTCCAAGCAATTTATGTCAAAACAGTGTTACTGCTATTGTCAGCTATTGGTTTCTACTGCAGCTTTATTGTTATCCGAAAGATTCAGTCCAGCGATAAATAAGAATTACAGTCGTGTACACTGTTTTATCCATCAAACATTTACTCTCTTGCAGACCAAAATTCTGGTGGAACAACAAAAAAAACAAAAAATAAAACAGTCTAAACAAGTTTGAAGAAGACTTTTTATCTTTTACTGAAATTCCTGGGAAGAGAGGAGAATTATTTCGGTATCTGAGAAACACTCAATAGCGAAATGAATTATGTAAAAGATCATCGTACAATGAAAACATAATTGTTTTAAATTACTTGCAAATCCATTAATTTCCTTCTAGAAAGTGATAAGGATGGAATTTGTGATTAAAATAACTCAGTTCAGATTGTTAACCTGCTTGACCCAATGGAGTAACAGCTATTGCCTTCAATTTTGTAACCAAAAATTGTGCCACCTCTAAGTAGAAGATGTTGGTGATGGTATGCAAACATATAATTCTCCTGCGGGAAGACGATGATGACTAAAGTGTGGGAGGAGGGTATTAGCTTTTGTATACGTGGTAGCTTGACATATCCAGCTTTGTCTGATTGTGGCTATCAGGTCAGCATAGTTGCTCTTTCAACTCTGGAATGAATCTGCGCCAAAGCTTTACATAGCCCTTTTAAAAATGACTTCAATTGCAAGTTATATTCGCTTGGTGATATCTGCTTTCTCTTCTCTTGCATTTTTCAGTTTCCAATTTTTATAGCTCAATACTACTTTTCAGTTCCCAGCTTTAATAGCTCAACACAGTGAATTTCATAACCGATGAAATGACATGAAAGCAAATCTCTTTGCTATCGCTCTGTATTATGCTCTTATCGAACGAGGTTATTTGTTACTCCTTTTGAAAGGTTCCATGGATTTAACTTATTTTAAATATATCGTGAAGGCCAAATGGAAAGTGCAACCGTTCGTTGCATGTTTGAATCCCTTTTTTCCTATATCTTATTGCGTGAGAAGAAACCAAATTTTAATGCTCGGAGGAGCAAAGCATGATTTTGTCGCACTAAAAGCAAAGTGCTTATTTGTCAGAGGTATCAGAAATATGAATATATCAGGCAGCTATTTTTATACTTTTTTTTAGCAGTGCTAACAAAAATCACAGTATTAGCTCGACAGCGGAAAACGATCACACAGTTAACACTAGACGTCGATAAAACTACAATCACGTCATCAATAGAAATCGTTTCTGGTATTGATGAATCATTTCCTGTCCTCATCGCATTGGATGTTGGCAGAGTTCGAAATTTATTATATATTAAAAAGTTAGCTGGAGGGAGGATAGAATTTGTGTAGTTCTATTCATCGGCAGCGGTAATGCCTAAATCTGTCATTGGTCTTTTTATTAGTTAATCAAGTATGTGATGTTATTTTCTGTTTAGTTTCGATTACTAGTTGATGACGAGAAAGTTTGAGGTGTTATACTTCATCCAATATTTTAATGATCTGTGATGTATATTCGACGAGAATTTCTCTTTTTATTAGTTAGAATAGTGCAAAAAAAAGGAAAGTATTTTACTGCCCAGTACTTACTAACTTGAGTAGATTATATGACTTCACTAGTTTTTATAATGAGAAATATATTTTGAAAATATTTAAAGCGCACTTATTAGAAACCAATATCGACTTTAACTATAAGTAATCCTTAATACAGAATATCTTGGCCTATATGGAAAGCTGGCTGCGCTCATCTAGCGGTAATATTCGCTTGATTGCTTTGGATGATAATAACACAGTTCCATCATACATATATCGCAGTAGCGGTGTTGCCGAAGAAACAGTCACTTCACTTGCTGTCGACTGGATAACTGGAATACTGTATGCATTTTTCTAAACTTTTCTTATATTCGATGTAACTTGAAGCGGAAAAAGTAGCCTGCATGTTTTACATTGATAATGGCATTTTTCACATAAGCAAATTATATTAGAAAAGAAATATTTGAAAAATATTCAGCTAGCTGTGTTTTGAACTTAAAATATCTCTTCCATAATGTAAGGCATTATGTTGGATGGCCTCCTTTAAATTTGATTTTCTTCCTTTCAAAAATCTCGTCTTGCGGGTGACTACTTGTAAAGTGTTGATTTCTACAAGATAATCAAAATTTTTGCATGTTGTGTTTGTTAGTTTTTAGGTGATCATGAATCTAAATTGATGCTTTTGCTTCGGCATGTTTGTTCAACATCCAAAAAAAGTTTTAGAAGATGAAAAGTCATGGACTTGATAAAAAATAATCTCTTAAGTATACTTTTACAGGTTATTGCAAATTTTTTTTCACACGAAGTATAGAACTAAGGCACTCTCAAAAGTAGTCACAATCGGGAAAAGGAAGGTTGTAAAAGTTGATATGATTAAAGTGCATTGCTAAGATTGTACTTATATTAAAAAACCTATAGTTCAAGCAGTGAAAGCAAGATTTTTTTCTATGGAAACATTTTTAAGATACGTTGGTGTTGAAACAGCTAGTATACATAATGCTGGGCGCATTGAAGTATGCCCTTTGGATGGTCAGATTAGTTGTGCTATTGCATTGTATTCCAGTTTTGAAAATCAGAATTCTCGAGTTGATGCTCTTCATTCTCTTGTGCTTGACCCAGTTGATGGGTAATATTTTTTTATTAATGTGCAACCTATTAAAAAATAACATTTATTTCAAGAGATACCGCATATCAAGTACTCGCTGCTCGCTTGAATTCCTGCTGAATCTGTTTGCTGTGTTTTAAAATTAAAGTGGATTTCAATGTTAAAACTCTGAGTTCTGCATGTCCAACTTTTTTGACAGCTATATGTACTGGTTGAATCGTGTGCATAAACGTATTGAGCGAGCATGGATGGATGGTCGACATCACGATCCTCATTGTTTCAAAGATGATACCACTGACGTAGTTGCTACATCTGCTCTTACGCTTGAGCAGGTGAATCCACTTTTCAAAATATTAGATTATAAATTTTTACAAAAAGTGTTTTATATATGTAAGGACAATTAGTTACTGTATTCTGATCTTTTTAGAAAATTTTCTGATTTTCTGACGTAGTTTTTGTTTGATCATTCATTTCAACACATCTATTGATAGTAATGCCATCTTATATCAGAGGGAAAAATATTGATCATATTCAATACAGGTCACCTGACTGAGGGATGAAATTGTCGAAGTGTTATTCAATTATAGAAATGCTTGCAGCTAGAGATAAAGATAGCTCATCGATTTTAGTTGTTCTTCCTTTTAAATTCATATGTTTTTAAGGCGAGTCGAATGTTGTACTATGTTCGTACTCGGACATCACTGGATGATTCGCAAATCTGGAGCTGTTCATTGTATGATCGTGAATCGTGCCGAGCACTTGCTAGTAAAGTCAATGCCTTCTACCTTGATGTTTTCGGTGTAGGTAGTTGGTTCGAAAATCGTTTTAATCTTGTGTAAAAATCTTTGGTTGTGAAATCATGTCATACATAAACTGTATAACATTTTTGTAATTGAATATCTTTTGTGCCAATCTTTTGGAGCTGAAAAATTCTAGCTTTTTCTGTGTCTCCGCTTTAATAAAAAGATAATTAAGGATTACTTGATATGGACATCAGTGACAAATCAGAATTCCGGCATAACGGTATGTGAGAAAGTCAATTGCGATCGTACAACTCGTGAAGTGATTAATTCAAGTGGTGTTGAAGCTCTGGTTGTATCCGATAAACAGGTTCAGCCATTAAGTAGGTTTCTACTTTGCCTTCTAGATTGGTTGAGTGCTTACATCTGGCGTAAGACTGATTTATTTGAAGCCCTCGATGTTGTTGATGATGTGTATCCAAAAGTATCAACTCAAGATTATTTTATCAGAAATGTTTCTTTATTTTTAGGACAGTCGTTAAATCCTTGTGAGTCAAAAAACGGTGGCTGTTCACATATCTGCGTGCTGATTCCTGGTGCACCATGGCGATCTTGCCTGTGCCCGGTGGGAGTGCGTCTTCTTCAAGATCGCTTAACTTGTTCACCTAATGGTGACTGATAATTTTCATTATTATTTATTTCTGTAGCTTATCAAACCACTTCATGATAGTAATATTCATTTGTGAGTGATAAATTCCGGAATAATTCTGCAAAATCTTAATAGATGAAATCGTTACATTATGATCTGGGCCGCATTTCTACCTAACATTAGGGCAACTCAAAAAACTGACTTTTTTAAGAGATTGATGAGATGATGTAGTTTTGTTCATTCTTTTTCAGGTTTTTGTATGGTTTATAGTATTTTGTAAAGTTGATGTAAATTATATTGGAAAATATTCCGAATTGCTAATTTTAGTTTGCATTGTTCTCGAAATTTAAGGGATAGAACGTTTGCTATATGTGGCGACGACATCAGGCTTAATTTTTATCTCGTTAGATACAGCACATCATACTCCTCTACCACTTCCAAATGCGGCATCCGAGATACGTGACACTAAAGTTGTGCATATCGATTTTGACCCAATCGAGAAAAAGTTATTCATGATTGACGGAGACAGGGGTGTTATTCGTCGGTGTAATCCAGATGGCACAGGAATGGAGGTTATTTCCTTATTAAGTTTGTTGAAATAGTTTTAGCTTATGAAATTAACCTGAACAAATATATTTTGAATAATGTTTATTCTGGTTTTCGATAACTGCTGAAAAACGTTGACATTTCTTGTTTCCAGGTTTTTGTTGAAGACTCCCATAAAATAGTTTCCGAGGCTCTGGCTGTTGATTGGTTGAATCGTAATCTATATTGGTTAGATAGTAACGTTGCACAAATCAAGGTTCTTGATGCACTTGTTTTATAGTGAAGTGAACATTGACAGGGAAGTGAACGCTTGTTTTATAGTGATTGTCTATTTGCTACTTGGAAAGTCTTATGTAGCAGTTAGAAGAAGCTTAAATATCTGTTGCTCACTTCCCTGTTAGTTAAGCCATCGGTCATTTATACGACTGCTATGAGCAGTCTGTGCTCTATCTATTTGAAGTTATTTACCATATTTCGACAGCATCTGATTTTTGTTACCTTCGTTTTGTGAAGTTCATAGGTCTCTTTTGTTGATTTATGCATTTTGTTATGTTTAAGACTGCATTAAAAAAATTTACCCAGGTTGTGTCTGAAATTGCGTAAAACATTTCTCCCGCTTTTAGATGCAAAGCTTATCTAACAAAGGACGGCAGATAGTAATATCGCACGGATTGAAACAGCCGCGTGGTTTAGCTTTGGATCCAGATGGTGGCCACATGTTTTTTTCAGACTGGCACGAAAGTACAAGTCGTATTGAGAAAGCATGGCTAGATGGATCACATAGACGAGTGCTTGTATGTTCTTGTTCTGTTTCAAAATTTTCTATTTCTGCAGTTAGTGTTTCCGGCATTTTAAACCATTTACATAACGATATAAATATTCAGGTTTCGTTAGAGAAAGATGCCTGGCCAAATGGAATTGTAGTTGATACAAGACATAAACGGTTATATTGGGCAGAGGGAAGTCGATCATTCATTAAATCGGTAGCCCTTGACGGGAAGTTGGATGTTCAAGTTTTCTCAGAAAATGTGAACCATCCCTATTCGCTTACTATATTAGGTTTGTTGTGCAGATAAAGTTCTAGCAGCTGTTTTGAAGAGGAGTGATGGAGTTGGAGTTGTTGAGCCTCACTTAACATTACCATAAGCACAATGGTATCATATTATTTTATCTCTCGAAACATGGGGTTTCCGTTTTCAACTTGCATGACGATTAAAGTTTTATGTACAAGACTGCTAAATAAAAAATTGTGAAATCTCTTTAATTAATCGGAGAACTGATAAGGATTCGAAGTTATAAAGTTTTCATATCCCATCTTCATTTTTAATAAACATGTTTTATTGAATTTGATAAGATTTTCATTTGCAGGTAATTCGTTATATTGCAATTCGCTGTATGGTCGTAAGATATCAGTGTTTCGTGTACCTCGACACAATGAATCTTTCTTCGATGTACAGTTATCTGTGGTATCTGATTCTGTTATTTTTGGTCAGATGGGTATTCGAGCGGTTAGTCTGAGTCATATCCCAGAGGGTATTTCTCCATGTCAGACAAGCAATGGTGGATGTTCGCACATTTGTGTCAAATTGTGAGCTTATGAATTCGAATTTAATTTTGAAATGATGCTGGTTTATCACAGATTTTTATGAAAGAATTATTTTTGTCATATTTGTTAGCAAATAATTCATCAGTGAAATCTGTTAACAAGACGATATTCGATAAATCTTTATAGCAGATTTGGTTGAACTACTATTTCTTTTGAATAGTAGTTCAACCAAATAGTAGTTCAACCCCTTTTGAACAAATTAAAGGACTGTTTTGTAAACAGCTGACGAATGATATGTTTCTTGCAGACCAAATGGCGAAAGAGGCTGTGTTTGTCCGGTTGGTTATGAGTTGCAAGCAGACAATACAACATGCACTATGCCCGCTGCATTTCTGATCTACACGCAAAGCCCTGTAGTGAACACAGCTAATAGCATTATGAGAATTTCTTTGAAGGCAACTCCAGCTAATAATCACCGTATTAATATTGCTGACATGACATCAGCTCCAGTTAGCGTCGATATTAACCAGGTAACTGATCCAATTCTTAACTTGTTATAAGTAATACAACTTTGTCTCAACGTGAGGTTTCATTGGCTGGTGACGTGACTGATGGTCGAATACGACCCTATTTTGAATACGACACAATTGCATTATTTTATATTCAATTATTTCATCTATTTCGTTTGTTCCCTGAGACACGCATAAAATTTTTTCATGTTATGTTTTCATAATCATTTGTTAAACTATGTTAATAGCGCTACCTTTTTTTAGAATTCCCAAAGAATTTTTTGGTCATCAGAAGGACGTGGTCGTTCGATTCATTCACTACTTCGTAGCGCTTTTTTTAATGGCTCTGGTTTGGAAACTGTGTATGAAGGAAATGCGGTGAATTATATTGCGGTGGACTGGATCACTTCAAATATTTATTGGTTAGATAGTAACAGTGCTTTGAGATTTGAAGAAATATGTTGATTTTAATATGAAACAGGAGTAATTTCTTGTAACCTTCCTCAGCTTCCATAAAGATCAGCCATCTTTGAATCGAATTTCAATTGTCGGGTTTATATGCTTGCTTTCTAAAATTTTATTCATCGTGTCAGATAAACAGCTGATCTTGCGCAAGAGTATGGGAATCTGGCATGCTCTCAAAATGTCCAAAGAATTTCTGGTTTCATCCAGAACAGAGATAAAATATTGGCAGCATATTTTCACCATATGTCTCTTCCTCATTGTAATCTTAATCGTTTTAAGGTGTAATATGGAGCAGCGTCGAATTGAAATGGTCCGTGGCGACGGACGTCGTCATCGTACAATTGCGTGGGAAAATATCGATCCTCGGTATTTAGCTATCCATCCGCTCCAGCGATTTCTTGTTTTTGTTAATTACTACAACCGAAAAAAAATCACTATAAATGTAAGTACATTTTTTGTTTGATAATCTTTTTATTTGGTTGACGGAAGGCCTAAATTTTGTAGATTCATTTTTAATCTCAAAATTCAGTTTTGCAAGGTTGAGATGTTTTTTTTTTAAATTTGCGTTGTCCTTGCTGTTGTGTAGTGTGGCTCTTGTCTGTTTGCTAATTATCCCTTGAAAATATTCTTTGAAGATGGTTTAATTAAGATCATCTTTAGACTTTTTATTTTGAATTTTACTAAGTACTACATGATTAGAAAATACCTCTTCATGGCGAGCAATCAGGAGGGCAAGTTATTGTTCAACAACTAGACACAGTTAATGCACTTGCGATTGATTTTGATTCTGAATTGTTGGTGTGGTCAGAACTGGACGAACGAGGAGGTGGAGTTTCTATTTCTGACTTCAGTGGTATGTTTTTTGTTTTCCCAAATAAAGATGTGCATTTTTGGATTTTTAATTCAGTAGCGGATCTACTATCATATAGTTATATCGATTCAGTTTGGGTTGTTAAGCCAGTTCATTCAGTAGTTCAGAAAACTGTGATATATTGTGATAATTTCGCGATACCAAAAATTTCTTTTTTACATCATCGACGGACTTAGACAGACACTGCTGTGAAGAAAATAAATCCTTATAAGTCGCTCTAGTTATCCACAACAAGTTGTATGCATGTTTAAATCTATGACAACTTTGTCATTATTTTCATTATTGTTATTAATGTAACGTATTGCTAATATGAACTGATATTAATGTCATCATGTTTCAAGCGTGCCTCTAGGAAATGAATTTTTCGAGGTGGGAAATCAAGCATTTGCAGGGAAAAGTCGTGCTCGTTTATTATATAGTGAACAGTTATTACCTGTTGCATTAACTGTTTATAATCGACAAATATACATTGCCAATATGAATAGCAATACTATTGATCTATATAGCGGCCACACATTAACGGTTTTACATGGTGGTGTCAGCCATGTTACGAATCTTGCTGTTGCACATACACAGATAAATAAAGGTGGATGACTTGTTTGTTCTTTGAAAAAAATTCCGAATTGATTTAACAATTTGGCCTTGTTTAGCACGTATGAGCGGGCCTGTTCATTATATGACGACGAGTTGGAACTGATGAAGATCGACAAGGACGAGTTTGAACTGGCTTCAAAATTATTTTTAACTGTAGAATACAAGCATAAATTATAACGCTTGAACAGATATACATTTCACTGTTAAGGCGGTTTATATATTCTCTGACTTGAAATATTCATAACTCATGGGTTACCTGTTTTGTTCAGGTTGGAATGGTTGTGTTCAAAATAATGGTGGCTGTAGTGATATATGTGTGGCAGTTGGTGAAAGCTTATATAATGCAAGTGCCAAATGTTTTTGCGAGGACCACTTTACGTTTGATCACGTTGGAGGGAAGTGCTTGCGTAAGTTACTTTCCAAGATTTGTTTTGCAAAAATTAATATACAGAAAGATAGTGAGAAAAATAGAGCTCATATTCTAAGTGGAGGACGTCAATTTATATTTTCCTAAAATACTTCTTTATTTTAGCACCAAAACACTTTATGTTGGTTGCCACTCGAGGTCGTTTCATACGTTTCAACCTGAGACAAGCGGTTACTGGTGACATATTCTGGAAAGATGTACGCATTAGTATCTACAGTTTTTTAAAGAATCGAATTTTCGACTTTTATGATTTAGTATAATTTTAGGATCCTTATTCAGTTCTGTCGGTGACAAATGTTGGCACACCAGTTTCAGTGGGGGTTGATTTATTTTCTGCAAATCGTTCGATTTACTGGATTGATTCTAACGATGACAAAGTTATTAAACGGTCATCAGATTTATCACATTCCATGGTATGTGCTGTTGTCACTCCTTGCACTTTCAAAATTATTGAAGGGTTAAAAATAACTTTATTAGAAAAAACTTTATTAGAAAACTTCATTATTCCGTAATTCGCAGTAATTATTTTTAGACGCAGACAATTACATTATCGAAACGTTCAAACTGTGCAATACTTTTCCATTTAGCAGTTGATGAAACCGGTCGACAATTATTTGTTTCATGTGCAGAACATGGGCTAAGCCATGCATCATCCATTCATGTCTGGCGTATAAAGGTACTACGTGTTTACATGTTTAGTGTTTGGTTGTTATAACAAAATTAATTTATTTTTCTTCAGAGCAATGATCATTTGGAATATATCGGCGTTGTTGTGTCAGGAAGAGAGCGTTCTTCAGTGACTGATCGGCCTCCTTATCCTCGACAAATTGCTCTTTTCCCTAGATTGAAGTACGTCTCTTTACAGTGCTTTAATCATTTTAATTTGTGCTTTTTAATTTAATCATCAAGTTTTGGGAGCTCTTACATTGCTGGTGAGTTATTTCAGCCTCCTTTTTTACGTTGATGATGGTGGTTCTATTCCCGTAATTGTTCGGTGTTCACTGAATGGTCGCCAGTGCATACAGTGGGAAACACCAAATTTAACACACGCCGTGAAACTTCATGCTTTTCAGATCAATGATCGTTTGTATTATACGACAGCAAATGGTTAGTTCTGCATGTTTAGATATTACATCTGCCGTGAAAAAAAAGTTAGTTTTGAAATCAAGAAAATAGTCTCGCTATGTTATAAGTAATACTGACAATTGTTTGGAGGTTATTCTCATTAGACTTATAAATTTAATATTTTATGCAATAAAATAGGCTTTAGAGTAACGGAGGAATGTTTTTTGTTAGTTGATGAGATCAGTCGGTAACCGAACAAAAAAATAAACAAAAGGTAGTATGCAGATAATTCAATTTGTTTTTAGGATTGTGGTCACGAGATGCACATGTGTTTTCGGACGTACGTCATCATATCAAAGCACGTCCTTCGGATATTGATATGGTTCCAATCAATGAGAAGAAACTGATAATTATTGCAAAGAATGAATCCCAGTCAGAGTTAAACTTTATTTAGTTACTATATATTTCAGGTATATGACGACCAGTTTTCCTGTTTTTGCAATTACAGATATGATGATCTGTTGTTGGAATTAATGGATGATACTCCCACTGTCTCCTTGGATGAATTGAAATGGAGCACAGCGTTACCTTTCCCAGTCAGGCGTGTTCTTGCATTGACAGTAGTTGGCAGTATCGAAGGAGACTTTTATATAAATTTAAATCATACTTGTGCGGCATCACATTGTTCGCATTTATGTCGAGTACCACGAGATTCCAAGAAGCGTCATGAATGTCTCTGCCCTCTTGGATTTGGCTTACAGGCTTCAAGGTCAAGTTTCTCTGTTTGGCTGAGGAACATCTTGTTTGTATTTATAGCATGTAACAGAAATTAAAGTCATGATTTCAGTGAAACTTCTTGTTTTAAACATGCCTCGTGTCTACACTGGCAATTTAAATGTGACGATGGGCAAGAATGCGTACATGCAATGGCAAAATGTGATGGACATCATGATTGCACCGATGGTAGTGATGAATCTTCTCACTGGTGTGGCAATGTTGATTTTGATAAGTGGCCATGTGACAACAGGAAAACATCAATTGCCCGAGCGCTCATTTGTAACGGTTATTTATTTTTCAAATCTACTGTTGGAAATCTGACTATACGGAAATGTTAGCAGTAATAGGCACACATATTTCTGATGTATTCTTTATTTAGGAGCAGAAGATTGTTCTGACGGATCAGATGAGGCTCACTGCCGGTGTAATAATCCGCTTTTTTATTTCGATTGTACCTTTGGACCAAATGCTGCATTGCATCCAGCCGAATGTATTAGCCGAGAGTTAATTTGTAATGGCATCGGTAACTGCTATGCTGGTCAGGATGAAGAGAAACAGGTTAAAATTTTTATTAATTTAGCAAACTTACTGAAAACATTTAAAAGGCAAAGATTTTTAGTTCATTAAAATATTGTTAAATACAGAAATTATCTTCGCTTTTATGAATTTCTAGCTCTGTGCTGAATTTGGTACAGCGGTAACAATTGCTCCAACTCTCTCACCTTCATTTGAATTGATCATACCGTTGGCTGTGTTTTTCTTGGCACTTAGCATCATTGTGAGTGTGTGCTGCTGCCATTTTTCAATGCAACGACCACTAAGACAAAATTCAACTCATGCAGCAGTAACACGTTCACTGCCTATGAATGCTGAGGCGCGGGTACTGCTGCCAGCACATCCAGATGGCACCCAGATTGAGGTACGTCATCAAGGAATTCTTTCTACTATAACTCGGTTTAACTTTTTTTTGCAAAAACAAACTTCATGCATTTTTTTAGTTCCAACTTCGTACCTACTCTGTTGGAGCGTCATCATCGTTGTATAATGCATTGCCTTCTCCAAATTCACAGTTTTCAACCGATGCAATTTCATATCATCGATCTCTTAATGGTAACCCTTCAGAAAGGAGTTCCATGTTTGCTGCAATTAGTGCTGCTGTGACTAAAGCGAATTCTCAAAAATTTTTCGCACCACCGCCTTCTGCTGCAAGGTGGTTATAGTTCAACATTCTTATTTGAAGTCCAGAAGTTTAACTTGTTTGCACTGTTATTAATTTTGACTTAGCTTCGTTAAAATAGCGAAAAGAATGGAAATTGAAATTTTGAATTTTTTGAAAAAATATAAAGTGATAATTACATATGTTATCTAAGTGCAATATTGATTATTTATAGTTTGTCGACATATGGTGTTGTGAAACCAGCTGGAATGCGGGTTCATTTGCAGCAGAACGGTGGTGGTATAGGTTCCGCTAGAAATAGGCGAAAACAACGACATCGTGCACGTACTAGTGGTACCAGAAATCATAGTCCTCCACCATCCTATTCAAAGGTACGTAATGATCTTCTGCTGTTGCTTTATGTAGATACTTGATTCTTGCATGGTCAATTTCAAACAAATGAACTTTTTCTATATCAAAATACGATGGCAAAGTGTCCTGAAATAGATCTTACTGCAGAACTTAGTTACTGAAAATAGTTTATCTCAGTAGAGCTGTACATAATTCCCATTTTCTTTCATTAGATATTAACACGCTCATTATTCAGATCTGCAGGATAATTTCTATGTGTAGAAATTTACTGTTTCAGGGTGATGGCAATAATCAGATTGTTAGGAAGTTAGATTAACTTTTCTCAACTTTTACTTTCAGATTAAAACCACACGTCCAGTTCGTATTGATCCAAAAATGGAATGCAGTGACGAAGAGTCTCAACAGCTGCGAGTACCAACGAACAGTAGAATTGTTTCTTCGGTAGATTCATCATCAATGGAAAACATGAGACATGTGCTGTTACCAAGTAGTCATTTTATCTCATCAATTAAATTTGCTCAACAACAGCGTTTACTCGACTACTCGTCAACGTCTTCTGACGTTTCACTTGGGTAAGGAGCTAGAATCTTAATCAAAAACAAATGGGAGTAAATTTTACTACTATTGTCAACCTAGTTAAAAGCCGGGATATGCTATAGTGTAAAAACCGATCTGCATATGTTTGATTTTTTTAAATCTTACATGTATTGCTTGTAGGATGTATAATGAACTATCCAGCTACCATTGATCTCATTCATTCTTAGTTGTTGTCACATAAATTTAAATAAGCGATATTTTTGTTTATATTTTGATTCTTTCATTTATTGTTACTTTTAGTTGTTGTTTGAAATGCATTACGATGGTTGATGAACTACGAAAATGTTTTGGTATTTGAAACACAGAAGTTTGCTTTGCAATAATCATGAATAAATTACCGGAACAGTAACTTATTCATAGTTACTTTAAAATTTTAGAATATAAATGACTTTTCAGGGCATTTTTGCATTTTCTTAATAGATATAATTTTGCGAATGTACAAAGAATTTTGTGTGCTACGGCTTTTTCCTCCAACTTGTATTGTCGGCGTCCCGAAGTGTGAAATATTTGTTACTTTTTTACTGTGTTATGTTGGAATTTAAACTTTGATGTGAATTTCTAAGAAAAAAAATATGAGGAAAATAAAGATTGCTAGCAACTTAAGATTCTCCAACTTCTTATCTGTGATCAGAATAAGTCTCCTACTCCACCGACAAGTTAACATAAGTTTCAACAATCTTCATATGTTACTTTGTAATTCATACAAAATGCCACATTTTATAGGATCTTTTTAATCATTGAATTTTTAAAATATCTTCAAGCTGTTACTGCTTTTTATTTGCCAACTTTTATTACTCGGGTTTATTTCAAATTTTTATCAGTGCTTGTTATGATGTTTTATTTTCGTTTTCACAGTGTGCGACAGTGATTACTTTGAATGAGTTTCGGTTTTGAATTTGAACATAAACGTTAATTATTGAAAAAGTTTTCTTACTTTTTGTGGGAGTGTTGAGCTTTGGATGTGAAGGAAGTGCTATGCACTAACCACGTAATTATGGTTGCATATTACCTTCTCTCAAGAGTCATTTATGGATATCTATTAGAACCAGTGTCAATAGGTGACTTGTACGTTTAAAGGAAACTTTGTGGAAGTATTTTTGTTGATTCAGTATGCTTCATATGCGAGAGGTATAATTATGCTCCATTTGCTTCCATATTGTAGCCAAGGATAGAAAAACATTGAAGAATTGACATTGAAGTTTCCGATAGGACTTCTTGGTCAGTACTTTTTAAAATGTGAAGTATGACGTCGTACTAATGTGCGAGGTCATAACGCTACATTTTCAGACTTTTGATATTTATAACCACTTCTATATGTGATCTATGTATTTTTTTCTTCCTCCTGCCTTTTGTGTAATTCTTTCATGTCTTAATGAAGGATCATTTCGTTTTCTATGCAGATATACCTTATTTTAAAAAACTTAAGTTGATGGTGTGTCAGGAAATGCAATCCTTGAGCTTCATTCTTGCATTTTATGCATAATAGCACTAGGATTTATCAGATAATCCTTATTCCAGAAAAAGTGCATCAGTTTACCAAGCAGATGAATCCTACTGAATATTTGACATGTTTCTGTCTTTACATTAGTAATCTTCGCTCTATTTTTCTCTTTTTTCTTCAAAATCAGAATGTGATATGTTTCAGAATGCATTTTTGGGCGTGAAAAATGATGGGCAATCATATTTATTTTTATTTTGAGTATGGTAAGGAAATTTTGATTTATTAGTGAATAGCCTTTTTTCAACAAAGTGATCTTTCAAGTTGGTTTGTGCCTATAAATATATTCTTGCATTCAAAAAATAACTGAAGTTTCGTAATCCAAAACGCAATATTCAGTCCTAAAATGTAGATTTGAATATGTGATATTCAAATTAAAATGAAATACGACACACACTTATGAAGCAGCTTCACATGTTGTCTACCATGTCAATCAAGAATTTGCAGTAATGTACAGTTCATTGATCTGTAAAATTCGTCCATGTGGTTTTTAGAATTACAGAGAGAGAAAGAGTTAGGAAAAAAGGCAGACAATGAATTCTATTTTTTTTTTGTACAATTTCAACATCGAATAACATTACATTATACCATCAGTGTGTTGCTGCTTAACGTTTTTTTTTGATATTAGCATAAAAGCCAAATGCAACACACAGAACGCTTTCTAAAAGGGGCTATTTCTCTTCTCCTTCTATACAACTTTTACTATTCGCAACACATAAACAGTGGAAAATTATGCACCGTTTCAGAACGCATTTTTCCTTACAATTTTTGATCTTAATGTACTTTCTATGATACTTCATTTCCTTCACCTGAACATCTTGAACATTCCAATGTTACACTAAAATTAATTTTTTAAATTTTGACATATATTACAAATCATAAACTGACCGATAACGAAGATAAATTATGAAAGCTTATTTTTTAAAAAAACACACTTTCGAGACCGCAAAATCTGCCAACTTCTCAACTTCATTTGATCGAAAAATCTATCACTCCATTGTTCTATAATGCACGATGGAACCGAAATTGAGGAAAGCTGATCCTTCTTGATCGTAAATAAGTCTACGGAAATTATCTAAATATTCGTGGCTATGTCTGACATACAATTTCAATAATTCTCCAAGAATATTCAAACGAATTTATCTTTCTATGTCATAAATTCCTAACCAATTATACCTCTGTTTGCATCTCCATTACATCACCAGGTCGAAATAGTAAAAGTTACAACAGGACTTTGTGCTCCAGCACTTTGAATGATGGGTTTTAAATTTATTGTGATGAAATTATGTCTCAATAATATTGTTTATTGTTTGCAAAATATTGCTTAAAGATCCTTCTTGATCATATAATGTGAGGATTAATTTATATTTTATTCGGAAAGAGTTTTTATTGATGATATGTGAAATTCCACATGTATTAGAAATGGGCTAAACTCGATTGATTATATCATAATGAAACTATATTAATATTAAAAAATTTTGCAGAAAGTGATCGGTTTTAAAAATAAAATTTTCGGAGAGGAAATCAATAAAAATATATTAGATTTAATGGATTTTTCGGGCGTAACTTTAGGAACTTTTTTTGACTTTTATTAATGCTTAATAACAGTAAATTTTAATAACAGTAAATTTACTGTTATTAACAGTAAAGCTTTAATAACAGTAAATTTTAGAATTATTTGCATGTTTTGAAGATTCTGAGTTGCAAATATTGCAAATAATAAACGCTCTGCTCCTTAGGTTAGGTGGCACTCTTCTTTATAGTATAAAAGTTGCACTCGGTTTCCGTATTTAATTTATTCGTGCAAGAGTTTGTAATATTTTTACAACAATTTTTATTTTACTCATGAAACTGCCTAACAAATCCTTTTAAGAGAACAAAATTCACAGTTCATTTCTCATATACACGAAACAAAATAACTCCAACAATCTCTAACAATTGGGATTTTTTTATTTTTTATTATTATCCCAATTGCTCTTTCCAGTTACTTCCGATTTTTTTATTATCCCAATTACTTTTTTCAAATGATTTCAGTTAGCGTATTTATTGTGCTAGTTGATTATTGGTATTTTATTTTAAAAAAAATATAGGAATACTTCTTAATCTTAAAAGATATACAAAGCAATTTCAAATATACTTTCTTTATTAGCTCAGATACAAATTTTGAATTTGTCGGTGACACCCACTGAGTGCAAATAATAATTTATTGCAACAAATAAATCACAGTGTTTCGTATCGAGCAAACACGATTCGTAACAGTTGTCACTTCACAACAATCTCTCACTTTTATTATCTCCAATATACCACTGTCGTATTTTTGCAGTTTTTTGTAAAAAAAGTGTCCGTTATTTTTTCCTGATCCTTTATTCTTTATGCGACCTAACTAAACTTTTTGGGTTGATATTTAGCATTTGAACATTATTCATTTTATAAAATAAACTCACGAAATTTTCATACGTTCAAGAATAATGCCCATAAATTAATAAACTGTCGACAAATTGATAAAATAAATCCTGCGGAACGAAAGTAAAAATCTGATTTCGCTATCCGTTAGTGTACCTTGCAAAATTTCTAGATTTCTCACAACAAATTCTCAAGTGATTTTTAAACGGAAAACAATTTCATTAAAAAAGAAATTTGCTTAATTCATTAGCATTCTTTATTGGTAGTGACCTGAAACTTAATTTTGCAAAATTGAAACTAATTTGTATGCTGAATTTTCTGTAACATTGGCAAAGTATTGATAATTTCATAAATGGATGGCATTAGTCCCTTTCTTTAGTCTTCTTCCTTGTCCTTCCGTTTCATTTTCAAATATTGTCGTAGGAATAATAATAATTCCTTTCCTCGCGATAATGTAATGTCACCCTGCTAGGGATTTGAATGCTTTACTTCAGCACAATCAATGGAAGGCTATCTTGTCATAAATTTAATGAAAGGTTGGCTGCCTATGTACACTATCATTGTTGCCAGTAGCAATGTTTTAAAATTTCTCCAATTTTACTTATCAGTCTTCAAAAAAAATTATAAAAAGAAGGCCTGAGAAACTGAAATACTGCTGAAAGATTGTTATTCTTCGGTTAAAAATCGAGCTAAAAAACAACAATAATTTTTGGGAACAGAATGTTGCGCAATTGTAATTATGCGAAGATTAATTAGATTTTCTCCGCATTTTTCTAGAAAGAATAATAAAACTACTTTCATTTTCTTTACCAATTATTATAAATGAGTAGCTAACGTTGGTAAGTAAAAATCTATCGTTATAGCAAGCAGCTCATAAAATATGATCAGTTTTTGAAGTAGATAATTAGTATTAATGTGTGTTTGTGATTAAGCTAAATTGGATCCGATCGGAATTAGAATTTGAAGATTGCTAGAAGTCAAAACAAAAGCTCTTCCAAAAATTACTTGAATAATTCTTCTTTAGCGTATATAAATATCATTCTCCTATAAATCTAAATGACTGTAAAAGCTTAAACGA